TTGCTGAATGCAGAGATTTACAAAACTAAATCAAATATCCCCCCAGCCTCTATGACTGAGATTTTCATTGAAAAAAATCCCCCCTTTCACCTATCAACCTCCCCCTATCACCTATCAACCTCCCCCCTACCACATATCAACCTCCCCCCTTTCACCTATCAACCTCCCCCTATCACCTATCAACCTCCCCCTATCACCTATCAACCTCCCCCTATCACCTATCAACCTCCCCCTATCACCTATCAACCCCAAGAACCAATACAAATTAACAGAAAAATTGGTTAAGAGCCTATACTTGAAGTTCTGAGTTTACAAGAAACATAAAGCGAAAAACTTACACTCGTAAACATGTTCCCGTTCAAATTGCTCATGCAAAGAAACTTATTTGCTTTTATCCCTCGGATTGAAACAACACCGCTTCCAACAGATGTCACGTTCATTTCGCCTGAATAAAAATGGCACGTAATTGGACGATGAAGGGTACTGGCAGTAGAAAACATAAAGCTACAAATTGGTATCTTAAATCATCCTAGTCATAATTCTTTGCATCTAGACCATGTTTAGCTGCGTTCTAAAATGTCATGGTAATCTTCAAGAACACAAGATACCCTTATCGTGTTTCTATCTATAAGTATCATTGTGATATGCATCCTAGTCACGATTCGGCGAACATGAAGAATCCGGTTTCTCCAAAAACACCATATATTGTACTAAAACCTATAGTAAATCATATATAGGTCTATTATAAACTGTTTTAGGTGGGGAAGGGCCATTATTAAAGTACCGGTTCCATGTTTTTTACGTTTCAAAAAATGGGCCTAAGTACGTTTACCGCCATTATTCCGTTGGGCCCTCCGAGCCACTGCAAGCATAAATACTACACAAACTAGCGATAGACCAGGTCCCTAATACCAAAATGGAACTCCAAAATCTTTAAAACGCCATTAGAAGTAATTTGTCAAAAGAAACATACCTTTCAATCCGAAACTTAAACTGCGCGCCAAAATCAACGAGAAGATAAACTACCACTAGCAAGCCTTCCTGAGCCCGCTATTCCAGTAGCCTCAGTCCCGCAGTGTGATGAGAATGGCACGGGGGTAACGCTAGGAAACGTTTGGATAGATGTATCCGGGTCATTACTGACATACCTTGGTCCTTTCAAATTTCGCCTGCCTTTATTTTTCGCCCCGGAGGGGCGCGAGAATTAAAGGGGGCGAATTATGGAAATATTTAATGGGGCGAAAATTGGAGGTAGCGAAAATTGAAGGGTCCTTAAAAAACTATTTTCTATAATAGATGTTTTTATAGGCATAGAAGGTAAAAACTAAAAAACCAATATGTGAATAAAAGTATAAAATCCAAAATAGAAAAATGAGAAAAAAGGAGATAAGGAAAGGTCACTACCACCTGGTTACAGCCTCAAACTCAGATGGGGGTGGTTGTGTGTGCCCTTCAGGGCCGTAAATCCCGGGGGGGGGACGGGGGGACTGGACCCCCCCAAAAATCTGGAGCAAAACGATTTTTTTGGAGAAATAACCATCATTTTTCTTGGAAGAAAGAAATCCCTGGTAGCCGGGCTAGAACCAAACTACGTTTTCTGTGTTATTGCAACAAACCTCAGCCATTTTTTATAATTTTTACAATATAAAAACTTACCGTTTTCTACCGTTTTTTACCGTTTTCTACTGTTTTCTACCGTTTTATTTTTGAAAACAGAGTATGAAATAAAAAGAGAGCAATCTGTCAAAGCAAAGGTCAGGAAATACAAATAAAAAGTATATATATTATAACGATCAACAAAAAGTAGCAATCGACACAGAATGCTTACTAAAGTAGGACTGTAGAGTGTATGGTGGCATTTAAATTGAGTGGGTGAAGAGGATAAACATGGTAGGGCGTGGTTATGGGAATAAAGAATGGGAGAAATGGGAAGGGTTAAAAGTATCACCTGTGCATAACAGCATAAAGTTAGAGTTGGCGGGGTTGGGTGTGGCTATGGGAAGGGCGTGCCAAATGGGTTGGGTAGAGGAAGAAGAGGGTATAGAATGGATGGAGGACAGGGCTATTGAATGTTTGGAACAAGGGGGGGGGGAATTGGGATGCCTTATCTGTTTCAGGGGATGTATTTTCTAACTTGTTTAGCTTGGTGTTTTATTTAATTTTATTACGCAAGCTAATTTTATCCATTTTTAAAGTTATTGTTATCTTTTCTGAAACAGACTGTTTTTAAAAAATCAGTATAAATAAGGAAGTGTTTTCTAAAAAGGGCATTTTCCAGCGTTTTAGAGGGCGTGGCCAAAACTTTTTTAGGGCACACCCTAAACTTTAAGACTTGTGCAAGATCCTTAAATCAGCGTACTTCCATTATTATAAGGACTTATCGCGTACTCAGATTTTGTGCTTTTTGAATGAACATTCATAAAATAAATGGTAATGTTCAATTGTCATATCACGTGTTAGGTATTAATCAATGTCACATCACTATTAATTGATTAGAGAGTTAGTTTTTAGTGCATTTAAAGAGCACACAACACTTGTTGGGGGGGGGGGGAGGTTGTGGACTATTTCGTCGGAAAATTATGCTGTAAGTTTTTGATTTTAGTGCCAACAAGAAGTCTTAAAATCATTAGTTTGTTTAGCATCATTCATATTAGTCTGTTTAGCATCATCAAGCATATATTACAAGTATTTTGGTAAGTTGCGTTCACGAAAATTTACTTTCCTTAAGGTCACGAAAATATTCTGATTTCCTTTTAATCGCAAATTGGCCATTATAAAAATTTGTGTAGACTATAGATATTAGTGTAAATATGTGTAAAATTTTATTTTCTGTAGACTTTAACACAAATCCACCCCATCCTCTGAAACATCATAGTTCTATAGACTATGGATACATCTATCCAAACGTTTCCTAGCGTTACCCCCGTGCCATTCTCATCACACTGCGGGACTGAGGCTACTGGAATAGCGGGCTCAGGAAGGCTTGCTAGTGGTAGTTTATCTTCTCGTTGATTTTGGCGCGCAGTTTAAGTTTCGGATTGAAAGGTATGTTTCTTTTGACAAATTACTTCTAATGGCGTTTTAAAGATTTTGGAGTTCCATTTTGGTATTAGGGACCTGGTCTATCGCTAGTTTGTGTAGTATTTATGCTTGCAGTGGCTCGGAGGGCCCAACGGAATAATGGCGGTAAACGTACTTAGGCCCATTTTTTGAAACGTAAAAAACATGGAACCGGTACTTTAATAATGGCCCTTCCCCACCTAAAACAGTTTATAATAGACCTATATATGATTTACTATAGGTTTTAGTACAATATATGGTGTTTTTGGAGAAACCGGATTCTTCATGTTCGCCCACGATTCTTGGCATTCTAATCAGGGCTGCCACGAGGCTTAGGAGGCTCTGGGTGAAAATAGGACGATAAGTGTGTAAAATAGAAAAACTGTTTACAATTAACCGCGGGGAAGGAGCGGGCGCGTGGGTGTGAGGAGCTTTAGAAACATGACTTTTACTATTCTTACGAGCGAGCGTGCGATGAGAGTATATAACCAGTTTGTTATTGTTTTGTTACCTTGAAAGAAGTATATAACGTTCTATTTCGAGTTTTTTGTGAGTTTATCACCTTACAACATTCTAAGTCCGTGATAATGAGCCTCTCTTTCGGCACAAAAAATGAACACAAAAAATGTTTGCGACCACGCCCTTCAGAATACTTTAAATTCGTTCATTCACTTTAAATTTGCTTCTACTTAAAGGCATAATTTGGTTAATTTAGATGATTGGAATTCAGGATATCCTTTTAAAAATGAATACTCTACACAAAATTAACAGATAACAAGCCCAAAAAAACTTCTACATACTTGAAGGGTCTTCGCCATTTCGGGTGACAGTTGCATTGAGATAATCGATTTTCAACATCCAATGGAATCGATTTACAAGCCTTCCCTTCTTGGTCTTTGTAGCAGATGGTTGGTGAGCAGGGGGTTCGCCCTTATTTCTTATATCTTTCGGCCTATTGTCAATATCGAGCGGAGGTCCTTCCTGATTGGCGTCGTTACTGTCTGCATCGAAGTCGTTCACAACCTCGCTTTTGCTTCCGTCAAACACTGTTCTTGTCTGGGAACTGCGAGGTCCTTGCTTTGGCGAGTATTTCTCTGTACGAGCATTGATTCCCATCACGAAACCAGCAATGCACAGCACCTGGAATAAAAGTGGTCTAGTATGGGTTCTTAGGTGTTTAATGAAAGAAGAGGGTCGGAATAAAAAGAGATAGTCGGAATACAAAGAGATGGTCGGAATAAAAATAGATGGTCGGAATACTAGCAGAAAATCCGGTTTGAACCAACGTCTTATGTCGTGTCGTTTACTAACACACCAATCCAATATTTTCAATAATTCCCCTGACTTTTCTAAAAAGGCATTTGACATGCATAAGTACAGCATATCAAAAAATAACTCGATTGACACCTGAAAACACTTTAGGGTTTCGCCGATTTTCAGAAAGGCGGAAATTGATCACGGTTTGGCCGTGAGACTCGCGGATATTCACCTCTTATTACAGTCTCGAGACGGAAGTTATTTTTCTCGCGGATTTCTGGGCCTTATTCTTCTTTCAATTCAGATCATACGAATCAGTGGTCGCTGAACACATTCCATTCCACTACATTGTTTATGACAATCACTTGCCCAGACCTGTTGCGTGAATGATTGTCAAACGCGTTAATGTATCAGTGTGATACAGTATTATTGTTCATTGCTTCGATTGTTTGTTCTTACGTTTAAAAGCCTCTGTGTTATTCTGGAATGTTTTAAATGTGAAAAAATAAATCTTTAGGCATTCTGAATGGTCTGGTTTTAAGCCATTCACACTTTTTCATTCTTTTTTAAAAGCTCGCGCGAGAGAAGGTGTGCAGTGATAAAAAATCCTTACAACCGACCCTGGCGTTCCAGCAACACCTGGATAAGAAAATGGACACCTTCTGGAGAAATACCCAACAAGAAATCAAGACATTTAAAACATCTATTAGAAAAGCACAATACACACAATGATTGGATAAATCAAGACATTTAACACATTTATTAGAAAAGCACAATACACACAATGATTGGATATAGCGGTGACTTTGAATTTAACTAGAATTATAAAGTAAAGTTTTTGATATAAAATACAGATACCAAGTAAAACGCTTGAATCGTGGGGAGCTCTTTCATACCGAGACCTTTATACTGTGTGATTTGTTCCTTATCACAACATCTAAAAACAATCACCTACTCAGGAGCTTTTAAAGAACCCAAGATCGAATAGAAAACTTACCAGGACGCCTTTCATGTTGAGAGTTTTTGGAGATGAGCGTTTGTGTCAGATCAAACAAAGTCCGCACTGCCTAAAGCTGCAACAGAGACGAAAGCGACTAATTAGGTTTGTATTCAGACAGGCAAAAAATTGGCTTGGTTTAAACTGTAAATAACCCGTGTTTGTGCCTCTGAAAATTACACGGTTGGACCCCTCGCGTGACAGGTGTTATGCCTCAAATCTGAAACTCATTTATCATTGTTAGAACTCTGGTACAAGGAGATTGGTTCGGTGTTGCTACAAACCGCGACAAAACGACGCGAGATTTATGTAATTCGCACTGTTCTTGTTTGGGTTGTCTCAGTACTCAACAAAGCTGCGTACGATTAAATTCATAAGCCTGGTAAGGTCTTCTCACATTCAACGCAAAAAGGTCAACACAACCAGCAATGTTTGGAATAACAGTCCAGGTAACATTTCTCAATCATTGGCCTCGATTTGATAGAGGTTCGACATTTTCAATGAGGCCCAAAAAATTGTGTGTAAGTTTTCAACGAGCATGACCTCACGTGAAATCTTGCAGTCAACAAATAAGATTCTTTATCTGCTGTAAGTCTATAAAGTTAAGGGTAAGTTCTGATTACAGCAAAGAAACCTTTTTTTCCGTTACAGTCTGTTCTTTTCCAAACAAAAAAGAGGCAACACAAAATGTGAGGACAGAGTGACAACAATTAAATTGGAGGTTAAAAACTGTCAAACTTTTTTGAATGCGCGAAATGCTTCTGAAAATTAAGAAAGCCAATTTCAAAGACCTCTGAAAACATTCTTAATAACCACCTATAATTTACGGTATAAATAACCCTTCAAACGCTTAAAAACCTTACTAAGCTCTTTATCTATAACCTAACAAAAAAGGTGTCGCAGAACACATGGTAAGCCATATCTCAATGTGCCTGCATCCAATTATCAATTTCTTTACATTCTACTAGCCGAGCTTTCAAGACACACAATGATACCATGTTTCAAACTATCAGAGATTTTGACACTTGAAGTAATCTAATGTAAACGAAGGTTTCCAAAACTTCTTTACCAAAACTTTTAGTTGAGGTCTGAAAATCTCTTGACCTGTTTAGCCGATTATCGTTGCTCTGCAATTGTGACCACATGTCTCATTTACAGAAACTAGTTGCAACCACATGGCACATCTATGTATTTACGAGTGTACCTGCAAGAGCGACTAGTAAAATCCTGTTTTCTCCGGACTTACAAGTCCTAGGTGTACCCAAAGAACCAATCGAATGGCTCAGAAATTTGCACACGGCCAGGACAGATGTCGGGTAAGCAAAGCGTGTCTCAAAACTTTTTGTATTTGCTCTGGTCCGTCTTTTATAGCCAAATACAGCTATGAGAGGGGAGAAAAATTAGTTGCGGGTTTTTGGAAGGGTATAGTTTCAAGGAGAGGAGAAATTTGTAAAATCTGACAAACTCTTTGGTAGCTAAGGATCTGCGCTTTCTGCTAATATTAGTCAGATTTTGTTACCTCAAACGCAAGGGTGCAAAATAGCTTTTGAACGCGGTACACTCATTTAAGCAATAAATTTGCCTGAAAAGTATCAATTAACAATATTTGCCAATTATTTTGATATGGTTGGAATCACCACATTCTTATGCATCGAATGATGTAAAGTTTAATCTGATTCCGTTAATAGCTCGGCTTTTAGAGAGAGAAAACCAAACATCGTGCCAAGAACATTTACCGTAACCTTAAAAAAAAGCAAAATTTAAACTGGATAATACTAGGAAGAGCTGAGTTTTTTGCTTCAGTTAAGTAACTTTTCCAAGACTAAAAAAACATAGATGTCAGGCTATCTTGGGGGCCCTTTTTGATCGGAACCTTTAGTAATAGGGCTTAGGTCCCCTTAACCTTGTTGTGCCACTGACAACAAGTAGCATCCAAAAATCTCTAGACAATCGCTCAAAATACCCTATGATGCAATGTAAAACATCTATTAGGAAAGCACAATACACACAATGATTGGATATACCGGTGACTTTTGAATTTAACTAGAATAATAAAGTGTTTGATATAAAATACAGATACCACGCAAAACGCTTGAATCGAGGGGAACTCTTTCGTACCGATACCTTTATACTGTGTAATTTGTTCCTTATCACAACATCTAAAAACAATCACATACTCAGGAGCTTTTAAAGAACCCAAGATCGAATAGAAAACTTACCAGGACGCCTTTCATGTTGAGAGTTTTTCGAGATGAACTTTGGTGTCAGATCAAGCAAAGTCTCCACTGCCTAAAGCTGCAACAGAGACGAAAGCGACTAATTAGGTTTGTATTCAGACGGGTGAAAAATTGGCTTGGTTTAAACTGTAAATAACCCGTGTTTGTGCCTCTGAAAATTACACGGTTGGACCCCTCGCGTGACAGGTGTCATGCCTCAAATCTGAAACTCGCTTATCATTGTTAGAACTCTGGTACAAGGAGATTGGTTCAGTATTGCTACAAACCGCGACAAAACGACGCGAGATTCATGTAATTCGCACTGTTCTTGTTTGGGTTGTCTCAGTACTCAACAAAGCTGCGTACGATTAAATTCATAAGCCTGGTAAGGTCTTCTCACATTCAACGCAAAAAGGTCAACACAACCAGCAATGTTTGGAATAACAATCCAGGTAACATTTCTCAATCATCGGCCTCGATTTGACAGAGGTTCGACATTTTCAATGAGGCCTACAAAGTTGTGTGTAAGTTTTCAACGAGCATGACCTCACGTGAAATCTTGCAGTCAACAAATAAGTTTCTTTATCTGCTGTAAGTCTATAAAGTTAAGGGTAAGTTCTGATTACAGCAAAGAAACCTTTTTTTCCGTTTCAGACTGTTCTTTTCCAGTCAGTTCAGTTGCACTCTGTCCTCATGTGAACGAGGCCTAAGACCAGCAAATAAAAGTTTCTTTCGAGACTTGTTATGGCTCGGAATTAGAACAAAAAAGGAGCAACACAAAATATGAGGATAGAGTGACAACGATTAAATTGGAGGTTAAAAACTGTCAAACTTTTTTGAAAGCGCAAAATGCTTCTGAAAATTAAGAAAGCCAATTTCAAAGACCTCTGAAAACATTCTTAATAACCACCTATAATTTACGGTATAAAAAACCCTTCAAACGCTTAAAAACCTTACTAAGCTCTTTATCTATAACCTAACAAAAAAGGTGTCGCAGAACACATGGTAAGCCATATCTCAATGTGCCTGCATCCAATTTTCAATTTCTTTACATTCTACTAGCCGAGGTTTCAAGGCACACAATGATACCATGTTTCAAACTATCAGAGATTTTGAAAATTGAAGTAATCTCTTGTAAACGAAGGTTTCCAAAACTTCTTTACCAAAACTTTTAGTTCAGGTCTGAAAAACTCTTGACCTGTCTAGCCGATTATCGTTGCTCTGCGATTGTGATCTCATGTCTCATTTACAGAAACTAGTTGCAACCACATGGTACATCTATGTATTTACGAGTGTACCTGCAAGAGCGACTAGTAAAATCCTGTTTTCTCCGGACTTACAAGTCCTTTAGATACAGGTGTACCCAAAGAACCAATCGAATGGTTCAGAAATTTGCACACGGCCAGGACAGATGTCGGGTAAGCAAAGCGTGTCTCAATTTTTTTGTATATGCTCTGGTCCGTCTTTTATAGCCAAATACAGCTATGAGAGGGGAGAAAAATTGTTTGCGGGTTTTTGGAAGGGTGTAGTTTCAAGGAGAGGAGAAATTTGAAAAATCTGAGATACTCTTTGGTAGCTAAGGATCTGCGCTTTCTGCTAATATTAGTCTGATTCTCTACCGCGAACGCAAGGGTACAAAATAGCTTTTGAAGGTGGTACACTAATTTAAGCAATAAATTTGCCTGGAAAGTATAATTTTACAATATTTGCAATTGTTTTGATATGGTTTGAGTCACCACATTCTTATGCATCGAATGAAGTATAGTTTAATCTGATTCCGTTAATAGCTTGGCTTTTAGGGAGAGAGAACCAGATATCGTGTCAAGAACAATTACCGTAACCTTAAAAAAAAGCAAAATTTAAACTGGATTATACTAGGAAGAGCTGAGTTTTTTGCTTCAGTTAAGTAACTTTTCCAAGACTAAAAAAACATAGATGTCAAGCTATCTTGGGGGCCCTTTTTGATCGGAACCTTTAGTAATAGGGCTTAGGTCCCCTTAACCTTGTTGTGCCACTGACAACAAGTAGCATCCAAAAATCTCTAGACAATCGCTCAAAATACCCTATGATGAAATTTAAAACATCTATTAGGAAAGCACAATACATCATATGATTGGATATGCCAGTGGCCTTTGAATCCAACCTGAATTATAAGGTAAAGTGTTTGATATGAAATACAGATACCACGCAAAACGCTTGAATCGTGGGGAGCTCTTTCGTACCGAGACCTTTATACTGTGTAACTTGTTCCTTATCACAACATCTAAAACAATCACCTACTCAGGAGCTTTTAAAGAACCCAATATCGAATAGAAAACTTACCAGGACGCCTTTCATGTTGAGAGTTTTTGGAGATGAACTTTGGTGTCTGATCAAGCAAAGTCTCCACTGCCTAAAGCTGCAACAGAGACGAAAGCGACTAATTAGGTTTGTATTCAGACGGGTGAAAAATTGGCTTGGTTTAAACTGTAAATAACCCGTGTTTGTGCCTCTGAAAATTACACGGTTGGACCCCTCGCGTGACAGGTGTTATGCCTCAAATCTGAAACTCACTTATCATTGTTAGAACTCTGGTACAAGGAGATTGGTTCGGTATTGCTACAAACCGCGACAAAACGACGCGAGATTTATGTAATTCGCACTGTTCTTGTTTGGGTTGTCTCAGTACTCAACAAAGCTGCGTACGATTAAATTCATAAGCCTGGTAAGGTCTTCTCACATTTAACGCAAAAGGTCAACACAACCAGCAATGTTTGGAATAACAGTCCAGGTAACATTTCTCCATCATCCGTTTTGACAAGGGTTCGAAATTTTCAATGAGGCCCGACAAATTGTGTGGAAGTTTTCAACGAGCATGACCTCACGTTAAATCTTGCAGTCAACAAATATGATTCTTTATTTGCTTTAAGTCTAGAAAGTCAAGGGTAAGTTCTGATTACAGCAAAAGAACTTTTTTTCCGTTTCAGTCTGTTCTTTTCCAGTCAGTTCCGTTACACTCCGTACTCATGTGAACGAGGCCTAAGACTAGCAAATGAAAGTTTCTTTTGTGACTTGTTATGGCTCGGAATAAGAACAAAAAAGAAGGAACACAAAATATGAGGACAGAGTGACAACAATAAAATTGGAGGTTAATTTCATTTTGTTTTTATTAAGCACATTTTGAGGACCTCTAAAATTTTTTTCAAGAACCACCTATAAGTTGCTATATATAGCACTTTTAAAGCTTAAAAACCTCAGTAATATACTTATCTGTAACCTATCAAAAGACAAAAGACTAAAGCGCGGGGGGCTAAAACTGAACAAAAAGAGGCTTGAATGATGGTGCACTTATTAACTCATTTCTATTTTGGCAAAAAGTAGGGGGGTATAACTCCAAGCCCCCCTCCCCGACTCCACGTTGCCTAGGCTAGCATGTAAAACAGAATTGCAAGGTGTAGAAATGATAATACTAGGTAGAGCTAAGTTATTTGCTTCAATTAAAGAACTTTTCCAAGACTTAAAAACGTGGATATCAAAGCCATCTTGGGGGCCCTTTTTGACCGGGAATGGCACTGACAACAAGTAGCATTCCAAAACCTCTGCACAATCCCTTGAAATACCCTCTTAATGGATAACATCCTAAAAACCTGAATTTTTCCAGCAGCCTTTATAAAAGCCCCCAGTTTTGGCTCAAAAGTCCTATACAAACATCAAAGTTGGGGCAAGACAATTCACCCGCATGGCGCCTATTTCGGTCTCCGTCTACGATAAGTGGATGTAGTCGCAGAAGATCAGTCACAAAACTTTTCAAGGCAAATCGCCATAAAAACATTGGCACGCACCGTGATGTTTTGCCATTAACTTTTTTCTTTTTGTTATGCATTTATAATAGGTGTTAACTGAATCCTGGGATACTTGAACCAGGTCGCAAGCACTATCTCAACAAAAAGACTGGATCGAACAACCTATTACTCTCCTACATCAGCACGAGGTAGTGTTCGTGTCTCTCCATGTAAAGACATCTGGCGTTAGGTAAAATCGGTACACACACTGCTGTGCTTTTAATTGTGTATTATTATAATTAAATTCTTAAATAATCTAAGAAACAACAGGCCTAGGAAAATGAGTGAACATTGGATTTTCCCTGACATAAACTAAATACCACAGCAAAAAGGTTTCAAGTTCCTTACTGCCAGTTCTTGTTTAAACAGTTAATTTGAACTTTGCCATGAAAAAGCAAATTAAACTAAAATCAACATGATTGTTCTCTATTCTCAAGCAATACGGCGAGCTCCTAACATGGCACCGCAATGTGGAATCAACGCTGGGGTGGAGAAGCTCGATCCAGTCTTTTTTTAGATAGAGTGAGTCGCATTTCGCAGTAAAGCGCGTTAAGTAACGAGGATGAAGCAAAGACAAAACAACATTGTTTGTTTACGTACAGTTTGTAAGTGGCTGATGGAAGTTACAAAACCTGCATGAAGTTACAAAACCTGCATGAAGTTACAAAACCTTCATGAAGTTACAAAACCTGCATAGAAAACTATCATGCCTTCATACAAACATAGGCTACTAAAAGATCGAAAACTGGAGCCCCGTAGTAATATGAATAAAATACTGATAACAAACGCCATTCCAGTATAAAAATAGAAAATATTTCAAAAATACGAAACATGAAAAACATTTCTAAAAATGACACACTGTCAGCAATGATAATGGAATCAGGCAATCACAGTTCTGGAAAGAACTAGCTTACGATTTTTAAGCAATAGAAACAACGTTCTTGAACCTGGGCGATAAAATCAATTGACCACGTGCTGGTTTTGTACACTGCTTGAAGACGCCGCGCATCACTAGGTTTTTGTCATGCGCTGGGGGCGTCTAAGTAGGGCTTCAACTTTGGAGTTAACTAGCGGAAATAGACAAAGCAAAAAACCGAAAGGAAACAGAAAATAGGAAATAGAATGTGGCCTGATTGGATTTTATCGCCAGGCGATGCGTGGGGCACACAAAACGACGGTTAAACATTGATTTCAACTCAAATAAGTATACAACTTTTTAACGAGTATCAAAACATTTCAAAATCCTACTTTGCATTCTAAGCCGCATTCTAGTTTTCATATCCCAATAAACTTTTCTTATCCCTAATATTTAGAATCCGTCTATTCAATTTAAGTGACCAATAGACGAAAAATCCTAGATGTGGAAGCTTCTTGTTTGCTAAAAAATAGTCCCCAGGAAAAAAATTACTAGTAATTTAACCCCTTTAGATGGTTTAATTCTCAAAGTTATGTAATTAGAAATTTAGGTCACATCCTTATTTAGGTCACATCAACTGCATGGTCGCAATTTATGTTGCAATATTTAAATTTCTTGTTACTCACAATGTGATGATTATCTAAAGTACTATTGTGCAAATTAAGACTAAACTCCTTTCCTGTACCGTTTTTAAAAAAACTTTTATTCTGAAGATATGTTGAAGATTGACTCGTGTTAAGCCGAAACGCCCTTTAATTTCATTCGAAGATTTTTAAGGCCTTCATGCCAAAATTTTAATATATAATATTTGATCCAACTTACCACTGTCATTTTGGCATCGTGTGTTTAACGCTTTTGCTAATCGAAGTAAATAAAGTTTAAAACTTGAAACTCTGAGACTCGAGTTACCGAGACAGTATTGTAGTTGCAACGATTAAATGCTGGAGATTTTAAAACTTTAGCTTGTTAACATGGTAAATCATTATGCAATTTTCAATATTACCAGTGTAGCAGGGCGAAGGTAGATAGTGAAGTTACATGACACGAGCAAATGGATGTGCCAGGTTATTGAAAGATGAAAGTACTTTTCTGTTAGAAATTTTGCGCAAGGGCAATGGAAATTCTTTCAAAGTGACATCAAAGCGATACATGGAAGGCTAAAGTTTATAAAGTGACAGTACAGTACGAATGAGTGAAACTTGATGAGAACAGCATGAATAAATAGAATGAAAGAAAGTGACAGAAAGAATGAGCCACAGCGCTGAAACACAAACTTCTGATGTCAGCAAACCGCGGAGCCAGCGGTCAATGGGGTCATTTCGCTAGGAATACCGGAACTTCACAGATCTGCGCAGTCACTACAGGGATATTGCTTTTAAGGTTACGGTTAAAACTGGGAAAAGTGTTATGGGAAAATCATTGTTTAAGTTGTGTGACGCTTTAAACAAATTAATATTACATTGAAACTGTTTCGCAACAGAATTAGATTTAAGCAGCAATGAAATTTGAAGAAATTGGACACCAAGAGCTGAATCAGGAATACCAAACTTTTAATTCATGTAAAGTTATTTGTATGACATAATTTTAGGTATTTAACACAACACCAGCTATTTTATTTGTTCAATTTAAAGATACAATTTAAAGTTGATTGTTCATTTGAAGTTGATGATGTCAAAGTATTAAGTAACATCTATTAAAATAAGAGTTTAACATATGAAATAAGGTTGAGCGATATTCAGGTGCCTTTAAAATTGACAAGCGGTTCTGCTGGGGCAAAAACCCGGTTTTAACATGATCTTGAAAAGAGTAATTAGATTAGAAGCGTTTATAGATTCACGAGCCACTAAAGCATTAGCATTTATCTCCGTCTGAAACTATTCGTCTTCGACTGTCTAGACAAGTTTAAATGCAAGAATTTAGCATTTGAGAAGTATTATCGTGGACCCCGTTTTACAGCCTAACATGGTTATATTGAATTTATAACTGAAATTATGTGTTAACCTGGATTCTTTTAAAAGACGTTTTTGAGACGCAAAGCGCCAGTTTTCATTCAGTTCTAACTATTTAGATGGACTTTGTGTAAGCAGTTGCTATCTTGTCGATGCATACCTGTGGTTTTCTTTATGTCGTAGCGTTTATTTGATAATTAATATATTTTAAATCTGTCCTTTAGGGCCTAGTCTTACAAGTTAGGATATGAAAAGGAGCATCTGGTTATAAAATATCTACCCTTGACAGTTTAAAACGGAGGTTACACACGCTCTAGCAAAACTACATAACAACACTTAGAGTCCAGTCTTCTCATCATTTATATTTAGCTTGGTGGTGATCAATACGGATAAGTCGCCTCCCTAGCGACCCTCTTCATTTGTCTTACTGGCTGCGCTTTATACGTTGTTGAAGTTTGAAAACCCGCACTGCTCGTGGGAGCTGATAAATTGAAGAAAATTCAGTATTAATTAGCATATATTTAACATATTTAACAAAAGTTATTACCAATAATTATATTATTGCTGTACTAAAGAAAATGTGTGTGCTATCAGCGAGTTATTTAGGTCAATCGCGAGTGACAATGCAGGTGTTGCCAGTGCAGAATTGGCAAAGTCAGGTTGGCTTTGACAATAGAGTGAAGAGGATATAATCTACCATTTTCAATGCAAGTTAGGCCCCAACATCACGCACGTACTATAACGAACAGTTTGGATCTCTAGGTGTCATGCCTAGGCCTCTTTTATCTATTTCGTGAGTAACCCTTAATCGAAAACTTCAAATTTCTAGAAATAATCTTTTCCGTCACGCATATCCCATAACCGTTAGGCGAGCGTTCTGCACCGAGAAGATCAATAAAACTGGCCAAGTTCTGCATTTTCACTCGCGAATGGTGCACATGATGAAGAAACTGTTAATACTTACCAGAAAATAATTTTATCTTTTGAGGAAATAAGAAGGCTCAATAGTAATAAAAATCAACTTGAAAGGCTTTGACGCAGTAATCAGTTTAGATAATAAACTTTCATTAATTGAAAAGCTGTAAAATAAATGATGTCCACTTTATGAAGGGAAAAATAAGGAATGCAAAATAATTTATGTAAATATTAGGCAATAAATATTAAAATATAGGCAATAAAGCACACAACTGTGGCTTGGCATATTAGAATAAGTTTGGTGCAACTAAAGCCAATGAAAAGCAAATATTTAAATTAAAAGTATTATAAGGAATATGTGATGAGGATTTTAACTTGAAAACAATTTTTACTCAGTTTTACACAAATCTAGGAGTGAATTATGCTCCCACAATGCGAGTTTTTTATTTGGTTTCTTTAAAATGAAAAGTCAAATTTTCATGCTTATTGTTGTTAATATGCCCGTTTTGGACATCCGAAAAAATCGTTTTAAATGTCATTACATTTTATATACTTCAAACACTGGAATACAACCTTAAAAAATAAAATTCTATTTAGAAAATGCATTATGAATTTTGATCACATTTATTTGATCCTTGCACAGTAATTTGAGCATTTTGTGAGTGAACGTGTGATTTTTTGAGTAGCAATTACATTATCTTGAGCTTTAAAGTTAAAATCCTTTACGCATAAACCTTACAAACAAATTTAAAATGAAAAGCAAATATCTACAGCCAACAGAGCTTTAAATCTTAAAAACAGAATTTTTAGAATTCTGTTCAAAACTTTAAAAATCAGTTTGGATTTATAATATAAACTTTCCTATACCCAGAGTCTAATTTTGGGAACTTAGGCCAGCTGCAAACCTGATAACATTTTAACTATCAATTGAACAATAACAGACGCTGTGGTGCCATCGAAAAGGAATATCCGTCTAGGAATTTTCGCATTAACACCTCAACCATCGAATGGGCTAGGTGGTTTCAACAACAGCCATGAAACTTTGGGACTGGCACAAAAATCATTACAAAAAATATATACAGTACCTGGATCCTAATAATAAACAGTAGCAAAATCAACAAGAGGGGAACGTATAAACTCTTTGCAAAGATATTTCTGTTTCCAATTAGACAAAGACTGTGTGCGTCTTCTTGTGTTTTCTGCTGCACCCATCACTGCGATTTGTATCAAAGCAAACGAATGATACAACGAAGACTAACAAACTTATAAAAAGTGACGTCATCGATCAATTGCCAAAGTACTAAGACGTTAAACCTAACTTAGAAGGAAGCGTTGAATCAAACAGACTTACCGTATTCGTACGCCTCTGCACCAGAGTAATCGTAGTAAACGCTTTCACTGCAATGAAACCAGGTCATTGACATAATAACACAAAGCACTCTGCACATGGCCTGGGACAGCTAGAACTAAAATCTGACACAGATTTTGAAAAGTAAATCTACAGCAAGGCCGTTGAATTTTGATACTGCAAAACGATATGATATTCTATAGAGAAAGCTCCAGAACATTCAAATCTTCAATTATAAAGAGAACGAACTGTCCATTACTTATAGCCAACCCTAAATCACTGTTTTGTCAAAAATCACCATCTTAGACAATTCACCTTCTAAAAACCATTGATGATAACGATTGCCCATTTCGAATTACTGGATAAGGAGTCTGTATTCAGGGGTTCAATGATAACTCTTCACAACAAATATAGGCAGGCAGGGAAGAATTTTCTACTCACGTCGCTCCCTCTGCGTAGGCAGCATCATATGCTGAGTCATATGTTGGGTCGTACGTCTCGTACTGTTTAGAAAAAGGAACATTACAGTCTCAATTTATAAACATATCGATTCTTTAAAGACAGTGAAGCAACAATAGTAGCTAATCTCCTAAGAAGCACAAACTAGCAAGTATGTTGATAATCACTGCAGTGCTGGGCTTCTATTCAATTCACCAAAATCATGCCCACGTGAAGGCTTTAACCTAAGTTGACAACCAAAATCTAACAGAACCTACACTACTTTGCCTTTAATAGATGGCCAAATAATAAACAAAAAATCCCGAACACCTAGAATAGTGGACAGATGGTGATGAGAGTTTGCACCCTGTCCAACTCATGCATTCTCTCGAATCAGTTTTCTGCGATTAAAACACAAACTAAGCTTTGAATGAAGTCAAAAGAAAATCTATAACTCCAAAGCTGTATGTGTGCCGGTTTTTGCTTAAAAACGTTTGTCTGAACAGTCACCGATTGTCTAGGACTGGAAGCATATTTCGTGTACAAGTAAGTACCTCTGATGATGTTGTTACTGTGATTGGTTCGGCGCGCTACAAAGCAAAAGGAGCAATGTTAACTTGAATGAGTTCGGAGCATTCACGCCTAAAAGCCCTCATTAATTTGAAGGGTCAAACCCAACACTTAATAAATTCCCAGCGCTGGTCAATGAGATGCGGTTGCCCCTGGTAAACCACATATTTAATCAAAGTTTAAAATTACATCTTATCAGGCTAAGTGACCATTCTGTGTACAAGGCATCTGTCATTGCGTCTTCAATGGGTCATCTTGAACAAAAGAGGCTTGAAATGCAGTAAATCCAAGAACCTCCAGGCACTGTATAAATTTGGCTGTGGCTGGTATAATTAAACTGAAGATGGATTCTTATCGTCTTATGGTGGATTTCTGCACGACCTTACAGCTATGGCCAGCCTCCATTGTGACATCAGGTTTAATCCTTCAATACAATGTGGTAAAAGCACCCAGCGTTGATAGTATATCGAGCCCACCAACCCCTTTAACTTCTGTTGAAAGCCTCCTTATCGTCCTCAATGCAAGTTTCAAGAAATCTGACGCCGAACGACTGATTCAAGGCGGAAATTTCATTTGTTTAGCTTAATATGGAATATTAAAAAGGATGATAACAGGTGGGCAGCTGCCATGAAAGGCCACTTCTTTGAGTAAGGATGGGACCTTCAAGACATAGTGTGTATACACACTCTTAATTGAACCTACGTGTCGTGTTCATTATCAATGAATAGAATTAATGGTAACAAAGAAGACGGTATAAACTCACATGTCCAGGCGCTTGCGCAGCATGGCGTGGTGCAGCCACGTGTGTGACGATCGCCCGTCCGAGGCTTCTTGAAACAGGAATGGGCATTCTCACTGCTGAAGGAAAACACAATGGCCATTAAAATAATAACAAATTTATCTAGCAAACAAATGAAGACCTATTAGTAGTGAAATGTGAACAGAGCATAAGTGAATTGAATCAGGAACACGTGAACATGACAGAGGTAAACACGTGGAAGGTGAACATGGCTGAGGTTGATGCAGTGTGCTATACTTGGGCATGTCATATGAACGCATCGATGCCATATCGACAGCCGCATAATATCGATACAATTTGGCCACCGTTGTACCTTCATTTACAGTCGAATGCGATAAATCGATACTTTATCAACTGCAGAAAAGCAGAATTATCGATAGGAATTGCAATACTTTTAGTTAATTACAAGTAGCATCGATTTCTTCAACAGTTATGGTATAACCTTTCAAGCTAGCTTGGGATTTTCCAGTGGTATCAAAAAACAGCCAAGAGCTAAAGTGCTCGTGAAAAATGACAACTTTAAGTCGGCTCGTGAACTGGCTGCTCGAATGACCCTTTATAAGAGACAATAAAGGTGCAAAGAGCTGGAGTCTGAATAAAGAATAACACCAAAGTTAAGAATCATGGCGGATTTCAGTGGACTTAAAAATGGTTTACTGGCTTTGTCTTGCATTTATTAGGTTAAAACCCAGTTATTCCCGTGTCAAAGCCCATTCAATTTTACAGGGAAAAAAACAAGCCATGGTATCTTCGCATTACGCCCTACTCCATAATTCTTTTTAAATTTTACAGTTGCAAAATTTTAAACCAGCACAGATTAAAACTAAGCTCCTGTAATCTAATTCTAAAAAACCAAGTTTCAAGGCCATCAACACAATTCTTAGGATTGGCACATTTTAGAGAGGGTTCAATAAGTTTAAAGAAAATTAAATTTGTTCATGACCATTCGTCTGATCAAACATTAATCATTTTGATCGCATTAACTACAAAAGTTAAAAAACATTAACATATTGAATAGCAAGAAAGCTTCATTTGAAACCTTGATAAGAATGAAGGGTAGCTAGTGTTCATTTTGCATTGAAAAGTCTCTATTAACGTTAATCCTTTGCGCACCGCGTAAGGAGCAAAACAGACAAACTGGACTAAAAGATGGCGAAGAAGGTTCATTTCTTTAGTTTCCTTCCAACGACGGAAAATTGATCACCCATTTTAATGAACGTTGATCGCTCATTTCATCATTTTTATCACATGCAATTCTGCAGTATTTAGTTTTTCTGGGGGGGGGTACATTGAATAATATCGGAATGCAAGGTTGGATATGACTTTAACGTAAGGGCTTGATGCTGGTAAAGGCCCTTCACGCAAATTCTTAAAAGGTTTGAATGAACCTAAAAATGTTGCATATTCATCCTTTAAGGGAACCATATTCCCGTCTAAAACCTGACACCAGAATGCTTGTTAAAATTGCACACAAGACAAGATTTCAAATAAGTTAAAGCAATTTTAGAATTAGTGAGTTACTTGCTCTCCTTCCCACCATGAATTTATGTTACTGGAAGAGCAAAGAAACAGAGTGACGTCACGATTAGATATAAACAATTTGATATTTAATTCCTAAACTTAAATGTAGCGTTAGAATTGGCAACATGGATTAGAAGCTGACTTTAATAATGACGTCACTTTTAAGTCTTACCTCCGACCCATCTACCACCACGATGAGCAGCACTTGGAACTAAACGAAATAAAGTTTTACGTCAGCATTTATATATTAATAAATGTTAATAAATGCTAGAGCATTACGCGATTACCTGAGAATACAAAGAGAAATCATTTGGTACAAAACATTTTTAGAGGGAACTTAATGAAGGGTTTGGGCACTGGGAGGTTTACTATCGAAGATAAAACAGGCTGGTTAATGAGTTGTGAATCTTGTGAAAGGAAAACATAACAAATTGGATTCATATCAACACATTAATTTTTAATTTTTTAATTTTTCTTATCAGTACCTACTCCGAGAGAATTTATTGCTTCTGAAAATCCCCTGGTTTGGAGGAATATCGATTTCCATTTCAGGAGCTTATCAGTTGTAATATTTATTCACACATGACATTAGATACAAAAAATATTGTAAATGTGAAGCATTTCAGTTTATAAACATGTTTAGACTGCAGTTAAAACACTTTAATGAATACTGGAGCTCTGATCTGTTTCTGTCTTAAGGGTCATTATAACCAATGTGGAAGCTTTACATGAAGTAACAAGTTGCATTTAGCATTCTATCTCTAAAACTGTACATTAATTGTTAGGCCGCTTGACTCTCACTAAAAAGAAGTGCTTCACGTAAATGGAATATGGCTTTATTTCTCAAGATAGATGAATCGATTTGAAGGAAACTCAAGGGTATCAGATAGATACCAGATGAACATCAGAAAAATTTACCTCATTTGAAATTCCGAAGATAGGAAAACAACAGAAAAAATTGTGGAGCAAATGCCAATTGGAAGACAAGGCTTTAAGGGAGGTTAATCATTACACTCCAGTAAATGCCTTTCACAAGTCTTTACAAATTGAAATCCAAAAATGTGGTGCAAGTCAGATCAAATATTGCGAAGACCACGCTAAGCCTTAGTGACGAGAGTTAATGTTCCAGAGGGTATAAAGTCCAATGTTACGCTTTGAAGTGATCTGTTGGACCGGGTTTTGAAATTCAGTCTGGAACGTTAGCTTGTTAACCTGATCAGTTTTTTAACTCGCCATGCAAAAGGTGAAACGCGTCTAGACGGATATGTAGTCTTCTCAGCACTCAACTTATATATGAAGTCTACCTCGCCACTTAATGTGCGTCTGTTTCAGATGTCCTCTTTAAAGCGGGGTCAAACATATGCAGACAATGACGTCACTGCGGTACTGAAACACATTCCATCAGGGGTGTCCAACATACAGCCCGCGGACCAGATGTGACCCACAAGGACAGAAGTTGTGGCCCGTTCTTAGTCAATAAATTTTTAATTATTTGGTCCTGGAGCTATGTCTACGGAGTGCAATCCCGGTTAAAATTTTTATGATTCATTTTTGAGCATACTTTCTAATTGTTATAAGCAGACGTTTCTATTAAGGAGTTCAGCAGAAGAAGTCAAAGCTACAATCTAAGCATGCAGAGAAACATCTACATGAATTTCTTCTCACGTCAACTACAAATATAATATGTGATGTGAATAAACTTTCTGCAAACAAGAATGTAACATTTCACATTGATCACTTTTCATGTAACTGTTTGCGTAACTTGTCATGTAATTTTTCGTGTAGCTGTTATTATTGATCCATTTACTGTTCAATACAAAATTCGCCGATAATTTGCTTTCCATATTCATCTGACGCAACCGTGAAGTAAGATTTTGCCCATGGTCCACCCAAAAAATTAGTTGGACACCCCTGCATTACATACATCATTGTATTCTCAGGGATGGGAATATTATTAAAGCTTCAATATTTGTGAAATCAAGATTCGCCTTCACTATTTTACAAACGACTCATCAATCCGACTGGAAAAACATCTAATTTCCAGTAAATAATCAATGCTACACATTTTATTTGCACAAACCGCATGCTTTTTAAAGGAAGGATGGGACTTGTCACTGTAATATCAACGTAAATGGATAAAAAGCCAAGGAACTGAGCAATCAAAGCTTTCAGACATGGCACAGTAACATTTCCCTACCTCTTACGCCTCGTATCCCCCTTGCCATCGCAGCAGGGGCGCCCCGCAACACGGGCCTCGCCCTTCCACGGACGACCGGCTGCGCAGCTATAGGGATCTGCGTCATCGTCATGGCTGTCATTTGTGGTGGTAGAGGTGGTACTGTGTCATGATTCTCAAGGCTCTGCAAGTAGGCCATCTCTTGCATCTGTTGTACCCTTATATCATCGTTCTCCTAATTCACGATATGGATATAAACAATCCGTGTTAGGAAAAAGAACTACGGCAAATACGAAATGGTTAGTTGAGAATGAACAGTCTGTAACGAAAAAGTACCATAAAGGTACTAAATCATTTTAGGTTACATCGTTGAAATCCAAACAATTGATGATTCGATGGTTTTTGCCTTAACTGATCAACACCACGGACCAACAAAACTCGTTTAGCATCATTTAAGAGCCTAGTCAAGCTAAAGTAATAGAGGCCAGCCTCTATCATATTATCAACAACCTCGTTTAGCATCATTTAAGAGCCTAGTCAAGTAACAGAGGCCAAAAAAGCTATTTAATTAGATAATTAGAAACAAGCTGAAATTACCGGCGTCATGTATTTTTTTATCTCCGAGAGTGCACCTGCCAGCCTTAAATGTGCTTCTGACTGGACCCCTTCGACTTCGATTAGCACGTGTAACGGATCCGTTAAATGGGCGTATTTCGGATCACCGCTATCTCGTAATTCATCTTCCTGAAAACGAAGGAAGAAGCCTCTAGGTTTCTGTGGAAAATGCTAAGCATTAAATAAGCGATTTTAGGGTTAATTCTGAGAGGTTCTGTTCCTTGAAAATTTCTAGAGTGAGAGTGAGGCAGCAAAGGCCCCTATGCAAACAACCCAATTCAACATATCATCGTTTCAAGGTACAAGGTACCTTAAATCCCACTGGTACCTCAATTCCCACTGGAACCTTTACTAGGTCGCAGAACAAAACCCCTTTTACAAAAATCATTAAACTATTTAACCAGGAAAGCATATCTAGAAACCTCTAACTGATGAAATCGCAACAGACATTCTTATTGGTCTTGAAACCCAGGGCTCTAGAATGCGAAATCCAAAACATTCTACAACATATTTTATCTCTATTATGTTAATAAATTTCACCAAGAATCTTAAAACGCGCGAAACTATTCATAATGAATTCAACATCATGAATTGCAAGGTATAATCGGTAAAGTTGGTACCTTTTCTTTATCCCTCATTGATCCTTTTCCCAAGACTGACATCTTGGTGCCAGTTTGCGCCTGCAGCCGCTTCAGTGTATTCCCTCGAGGTCCAAGTAATTTACCGACGAAGTTAAACTAAAAAGGATTCAAAGCATAATTATAAACTGTTGCATATGTTGAAATAAATATGCAAGAAGAAGGGGATGCTGATACAGGTTCAAAAGAAAGATTTTCAATTTTGTTCTACTTAAAGATTTCTTCCGCTAACTTGTTAACTACTGGTAAGAAAAAAGGACAAAGTAACAACCCACAAGGTTTAATCTCCAAACACACAATGCTGGCGAAAATGCTGAAACACCCATAAAAAACAAAATTTACTACACATTAACCAGCCCCTCTCCCCTCTCCCTTAACCAATATTACAATTTATTGCTTCTGGACATATTCACAATAATAGTGCAGTCATATAGCTTGGGGGGGGGGGCGCGATTGGGTGAAACTAGCGCATATATTATCAAGATAAAACACGGAATTTTTTCAATAAAAAATCTCAGCAATTTTTTGTCATGACTGCAGACAGAGTGAAGCCCTAACGGACAAACCTTTGGGAATTCCTTCACGGGCACGATGACTTTCTCGCTCAACTTGATGACGTCTTCAGTGACATACTCCCCAGGCCTCCTGTATTTGCGACTACCAGGCTGTTTTCCTTGAGAATCTTGTGAAGAGTTTGGTGGCTCTGATCCTGCCATAGGCGATGTGGGTTTTCCATTATAACTAGTTGCTTGTGAATTCATATCGCTGCCTTCTTCTTCCGTTTTCACGCTGTCACCCAATTCTTTGACTCTTGATATTTCTGTCAAAACAACAAACGGTCAGTGGGATTTTTCAAAAGTGGAATACTGAAAAATTACCTTTAATGATTGGCCAAGTTGTTGCTAATCGACACCAACCCCAATGTTGTAGTTTTTCTAAATTCGTCAGTCATATTTAGTAAAAATGATAATCAAAAAAGCAAAATATTGCAGCTTCACTTATTTGGAAGATGATAAAAACGACACCAAGGAGGGAGATTAAGATAAAAATCCCGCAAGAAAACAACTTTATCCAATCTTCTTAAAGAATTGAAAATTAAAGTACATGGGGATGAAAAGGAGAGTTAAACCACTGTTGTTACAGTAAATATCGTGTTTTGTGATCACGCGAATCATCTTTCATATGTTGAATTATTGTCCGACATGGTGGCAAAAATTTCAGACATCGCCACTGGCAGCAACTGTTACTGAGACTCTTCGGCGGATAAGATGACCAGCGGGGCAAATATTGGAGGAAGATTTGGTTTTGAATAAGTTGCCAAAAATGTTTTCCAGTTAGGCCAATGCCTTTAGCTTCTCAAACTATTTTTTCGAGCTGCAGTAAATTAGAAAAAGTGCTGCAATACCCAATTTTCAGGAAGCTATGGTCACTTTTGAAACAGTTAAAAAGACATCCCTTTCGGGAATCCCAAAGAAATGACACAGTAACTGGACTGGTTTTAAGATAGTGGTAAAACTTCGACCAAGTGCGTCTTAAAAACAAGTGACTTGGAAAAAGGAGAATCCTGAGGGTACAAGGAAGCTAAATGTTATATGTTGCCAGTCTATGTTCAGCGATAGACACGGCATTTACATATCCGACCAGGTCACCTTCAATCCTGATTTGAGTACGGACATCACTTGGAACAAGCAACTAATAATCGACTTGTCAGAATCAACCAGCAAACATTAGAAGAAATGTAAGTAGGTGAAAGCCGTGTAGTATCTTAACACGTGACCGTATGTGGCATTCCAAATAATAAATCACAAAGGGGGAACTTAGGATTATCTACACGAGAAGCTGCTTTTGATGGAAGAATCTTAAAATCGTATTTTGGTGACATAAGCTCGCAAATTTCAATACACAGTCTCGAGCTGATAGGCTTAACCTTAATTCAAACACATCGAGGATTGGTGCATTCAACACATAGGTTTGCTTTGTAAAACGATCTTTCAAATTGAGGAGTTGTCTCGAATTTTAAGGCAACTCAATCTGTGGCCAGAAAACGCCTTCTTGACATATATCAACGCTGATCAGTTTAAATTCCTGAGCCCGATTTCAAGTTAAATTCCACGAATTTATAATCCATCTCAATCCTCGCTGCAAGGATTAACCTTACTAAGGGAAATTTTTCCAAATAACTCTGTGTGTATGGTGAGCACTAAATGTGCCTAAAGTTGGTGAGCGAGACAAAAACATGTTGTAGTAAAGCTGTATGTTAGTTAATTCTTAAACTCTTACTTTGGAGAAATTAAATTACGACCAAAGACATTGACCTTTGACACTGTCTAAAAAATTAAACAAAATTGCCCGTTGTAATCTTGGCTACAGGTCGAATTTTCTAGAAGACTAATATTTCAGCTATAGAATAAAAGCCTTATGGAAGTTGGATATCTGGTATGTACTCTTTTCAAACGGGACGCAGGCGAAAGGCAGGGGCTAAGCCAAGAAAAGTATTTGGAGAGGTGAAAAGGTTATTTTTGCCGAAAAAAGGGTGTGGTCAAACGGTGAATACTCTTACATGCAGCTTTGATGTGTTTCTCTTTCAAAGTTTATACTCTAGTGCCATACTTTGAAAGTTTAACTACACAGAAATTTCATGCTTGGCCATTTAAAAGCGAGAACGCGGGGACCAGGCAAGATTGCCGTTGGCTGAAGTGTTCCTAACGTTGGCTTTCGTAACGAACTATAAAAAAACAAGAATTTCTGACCATAAAAAGCACGCACACCCTTCGTGCACCAAAAGGTATATCATTTTTAGATACCTACGGCAGATTGATATAAGAATCGGTAGGGGGAGGGGGTGGCGATTCGAAAGGAGGGGGATGTTGAGATGCTATTGGCCCCGTTATCCCATGGTTGTTGCTCTGGCCATCCCGCTTTTGCGCAATTGTTTTGATCCAATATAAGGTCTTGCCACGCCCAAGGAAGCCTTGAGAGGTTTTAAAAGGAAGCTGAAACGGAATCCAATTAAGAATAGATATTTGACATTAAGCACCTTGACATTTTTGTGAATACTGTATCGCATACATCATATCGATTGCTTGAAAAATGCTTCGGCTTCCGGATTTCATTTATTAATCCTTCTTTTAATTGCAAAATAGATTAGGTTTTTAATCCTGAAAAAAAATATTCTGATCCAGGAATTGAAATCTCTCGAATCCATCATGCTTACAGCTTCAACTTCAAAGGTGTCAGCCGTACAAGTTATGTCTTTCAATTTTCTTTTCAGGAAAAACAAAATGAAATATATCCAGCACGCTCAGACATGTGATCCCCAGCTGCTAAGGAATTCTAAAGTTTCACATCCATTATTCTGCTTTCGAAAAGACAAAATTTAACAAAAGTTTCTACAAATTCAGAAGGCCTCACGACGAGGGGCAAGTCACTCTATGAGAATCTCATACACTATTTGTTGAAATCCTTTGGTTTTATCTGAAAATCCCTGGAAATCTCATATACAATTAGCAAGAGTCAATTGCCTCTTGCCTAAATGGATGTCCTATTACAATAAAGTGCCTGTGTATATGTTATTTGGCTTTAAGATAAAATTAACTGTTTTAGAAACATAAAAGGTTACTATCCTTGGCAATCAAGGGAATTTTCTATTCGATTCTGTAATACTCTCTTGACCTATTAAACTTTTCAGTATTGGGTACACTTTCTTATTTATTATAAACAATTATGCAGAAAATTACTCCTGGTTTTCCTAGAACATAAAGCTGTATGTCCTTTTGTACAAACAGTATTGTAAAATTTTCCAAAATGGAGTGAACTTCTGCCATATTTACTTTATTTTGGAGCAGCAAATAAGGGTTTAATAGGTCAATTATAAAAAACGCCATCAGGTTTTCTTTAGTCATAATACAGAACAATATAAAAGCCCTGGAGAGCACAACCATCTTATTATTCACATCCAGTTACAGACTGCACAGAATAACTGTTAAGAAAAAACTGAATGTGCAAATTCAGACCAAATTCCACTATAGTCTGTAGTGGCAGGTGTTTTTGTAGATGAAATTCACTCACAAGTCACAAAGGTTGAAAAGTTTCGGTTGAGAAACTTTAACGGCTCTGTAATTTAAAAAATTTGCAAAATTGTAAACAATTTAAAAACGGTTTTGCAAATTAAAGTGTACTGCGGTAGGATTATGTTGAATCAGTTTACCAAAAAAGCTTCATTAAAACAGTCTAACAAATCTAGGTTGGCTTAAAGGTCGCTCTGGCATTACAGGATTAAGGAAAAATCAGGAATTGTCATCAGGACACTTTGGTCGTACCAATGACAGATAAGAGAAACCTTTTCTAAATTCAACTCAAAATTCAACTGGTTTCAGCGTTATCTGGTGAAAACTGAGATATGTTAATGCTCAGAACAAAATATTCTAGGGAAAAGATTGCTTTTGGTTGTTAACTCCTTTTTGTGGTTATTCGTTTCCTGTAAACTGGCTTATTCATAGAGATTTTTAATCATAAAGCTCTTGGTGATGATAATCAAAGAAGACAAAAAAACCACTCAACAAGGCTATAAGGTAAGATGATCCTAAACTTGCATTGGGTCTTGTTTGTTACACACTTTTCTAAGGCTGACTCTATAAAACCCTGCAGGGGATGTTCTCTGAACAATAGAACACATATGCTGAACATTCAAGTAATGGTTTGGGAAAAGGTACAGGTAGACATTTTAATAAGCATAACGTTTTGACCACAGAAAGCCTTTTGCAATTCTAAAACCACAACATGTACTTAATACATTTCTGAGCCTCCATATGTAACAAAACTATAAACAAAAAAGGATGAACAAAATAATAGGCTTGAAGGTGTGATAAAGAAGCCTTAATTGGAAGCCACAGCAAAACCAAACTCTGTATGCTAAGGGTTTCATAACAAAACAATTAATGTTATTCTGGCAAGTTATAGATCAAGTTTAAGGGGGAATAATTATAACATTTACTTGCATCATTTTGTATTAACTGGCAACCAAAGCACATTAAAAATAAACCTCAAAAGCATTCCTGGTCTGCGGAATGTAATAACCCATATAAAAATGTGGTGTATCCAATGTGTCAAAATTAAAAAAAATGAACTTGAATATTTTATTTACTGTGAATCTATGGTCTGAAGTTATAAGAGTATAACATTTTTACAGAATTCATGGGAGCATCTTTTTAGAAAAGTTAGTGCTGATATCACTTATGACAATACCACTTATGATGACTCCGATACAATGATTATGAATGCTATTAAAATAACATTATTCTTGTGTTGTTGATTGATCTTTACAAACAAAGCATTGGGCATACTTTAGTTAATTTTTGTGAATTAGACAGAAAAAAGATAATATGACTTTTTGGCATTCTTGAACTTTAAATACAGTATAGAGATTAAACGTATTTAAGGTTATTTTATATGTATATTTGTAATGTAAGCTTGCTATAAGTAAAATTACAGAATGTGCTAGAGTGCTTTAAAGTATTCCTACAGTGTAGGCATTTTGAATTCATTACTAAAAATCATATTTAAGATTACTGTTAAAATTGGAAGAGAAACTTCAGTGAGAATGTCACACAAATGTCATTGATGATTAAAAAAGCTGATGTTAGGGTGCTTTTATGAATAGCAAACTTTGTCCTCTTCATGTCAAAGAACAAGGCACTTGCCTTACACTCCCTCTCTTGCATACCCTTGTGTTAGCCCCCAATCATTTATTCTGTCCTTTGTATGGGAACTCTATTACATTCAACAAACAATTGCATAGCATGGATGCCCTTTGAGCATGGGCTACTAGCCTCTTATTAGCCACAAACACCCCCCTCCCCCCCACCACCCAAAGAGAAGAGAATCATTCAAGCATCTCAAAGAGGGCTTTCTGTAAACCATTGTGGTATCTTTTCTTAATTTTCAGTGACTAAATGCACCAGGATTAACTTTTTTGTCCAATCCTCCATAGAAGTAGAACGCAAGATCAATTTCACAAAAGGAGAATTCAGAACAATTGTCCTATCACAATCAAAACAAAAGAAAACATGGAGAAAACGATAATTATCCGCTGTAGCAATAGCTAGGTATGGCAAGCAGTCACAGCTGTAATCATCTGAGTATGGTACAGCAGTTGCTATTCCTACAATCTCTTGACCTGTTCTACTGTTGTTTTGACACATAGCAATGAAATGATCATATCAAAAATATTTACACATATCACAGAGCTTCGACACTCATCCCCTTTGACGGGATATCCGAAAGCCAATTTGCTCCCAAGTGCCGATCCGACCCCGAATTAAACTCAAAACGAGAAAAGAAAATCTCATTTATGATACGAGATCTTTCACAGAATCATACAGTAGCGGTATTACGAGAAAGAGAAGACGAGAAACTCTACAATGCACTTGCGATCAAAAGCTAAATTAATAATTCATCATTACTGATTGAAACTGACTTTGATTTTGGTTGTTCTTTGTGCTCGAGGGAGAATGCCTAGAGACAGTCAAACGGCAATAGATATATTTTAAAATCTCTTAGAAATTTCAAAAAATCTTTTTCTAGGACCAACAATACAGCCTACATAAAATTGAGAATTTTTTCCGAAATTTCTTCATCCTAAACAGGAATTGCAGTCAATGACGATAACTAGATAAGACGAAAGCGAATCACTCACTCGCCAGCGGCAAAATTTACAACCAGCTCACAAAACCGAATGTGAGTAAGCTGGTGAGCGATTCCTGTTTAAATTCATGATTATAAACATGCCTTTCCCTTAACTAAAATGGTTGTACGGCAGAATGAGATTATCATAAAAACAAATGCTTCACAATTTCTTTGCGAAATGGCTTCCTCTTTCAAAGTTCCGTTTTGGTCCTGCAGAACTACAGGGGAAAATGAATTTGTTTGAGCCCTATGCTACTTTGCGGAAAAAATCAAATCTTATCGCGATTTCTATTAGTTTTTCTGAATATCTTCAGTGCAACAAAATAATCCACACGGCCATTATTGTTCGAGGTCGGGCCTAAACTCAACAAAGAACTCACCTCTTGAAAGAAGCCTTTGTGCATGAACAAAGGCAGGATCCAAACTATCTTTCTCCACCATAAGTTCTTGTAAGTAGGAGAGTTCTTCCTCCATTTTAGTTGTTTCAGGCTTCCAATATCAATCTACCTACAACCACGGCCTCTCCTCACCCGTTCACAATCCACAGCTCCAAATGAAAATATGAACATGCAGCATGTAAAGTACCCACAATCCAATTCGTTGCTCCGCAATATTCGCCGCTGCGCATGTTACCAAGGATACCTTAGCTCTTTAGAAACTGCACAACTCATTTTTTCCTTTCATTATTTAAAGTTGGTACAACGTCTAGCTATACTGAAGCTAATTCAAACAAACTAATTGAAATTACCAACGCTAAATATAATGTGAATCAAATATAACCGATGTTGCATGTATATTCCTTGCAAAGATAACAAGTACAATTGAACGATGAAAATTCTGAGATTTTTGTTTGAATATTTGTAAAGTTGGGTTAGTACACTTACGTGACAAAAGTATTAGGACGATCGCCTGGAAGCAAATGTGGTTAATCTTTGCCCAAAGAACAACTTAGAAAATTGGTGGAACATAACAAGATTGCTAGTTGAGATTTTCGATTGAAATTTTACCCAATAGTAAAAATAAACATAAATTTAATAAATTGTGGAAAAGTAAACTTTTTAAACAAGTAACATTTGCTTAATTTTATATTTTGTCAGATGACCTCCAAGAATCTAGGCAGCCGCTATTTGCATTTAAACTTACTGAAACAATTTTCCAACGAAATATCTTCGGATACAGGAGGAAATCTCAGCAAAATTTTAAAATAGCTTATTTTTGGTCTTAGAAGATTCCATTTCTGCATTTACATCAAACTTTCTTGCAGTTTCAGCAAACAAATGAAACGCTAGACCCAAATTTTTTATTGCTTCTCATTCTCTTTCTGGTCGCTTTGTGTTTTCGGCATTGAAACTAAAACATTTATTTTTTCCATTTCTCCTTGACATTTTGTTACTTTTCTATCGTAGAAAAGTAGGAAATAAATTGACTTTGCTAGGATTTGCATTTTTGTTGACGCCATTTCTAGAATCCCGCCAAAACAGCGAGATTTTTTCAATCAATGTTAGAATGCTAGTTTCGGTTCGGAGACGCCATCTTGCTATTAATCGTCCTAATACTTTTGTCATGTAAGTGTATTTTATTTCGTTTGGAACCGAGTTCCATCTTTGGCTACATCTGTATGATACGGTATTAAATCGATATATTTTGAAATATGGCTCTGCTGTTTTGAATTGGTAGTTTCTTTCGAATATTGGCATTCATTTATGGAAAATATTTGTCCATAAAAGGTGTATTCAAGCCGTTAAATGTTTTATAAATTTATATCGCAAGATAAGATCATGATAAGATATTGTAAATTTTCCTTCTGAGAAGTTATTGTTTTATTCTTTATTAAAAGTTGTACAAAAGTTGATTCAGTATTATCATGAGCGATATTTTCATTGCTCTTTCATGACTCCGATTTATCCGGCTGTTACTTTTCCTACTGTCAAACATCCAAATAAGAGGACAATAATTAAAATACGATAAAATGAACGTTTTTATTAAAAGAACTCGCTTAGATTCGTCCATATACGAAGCAATTCTGGCTAGAGCGTTTACCTTTTTGCCAGCTTCTTTACAAAAACTCTAATATACTTTTCTAATTTAAGTTGTTGGTCCAGTGTTACTCTCAATAGCTTAACATTCTTACTTTCTATCATAAGAGAACCAATTATTTGAATTTCAGATTCTTCTAAATTGGATCGGTTGCCTTTAAAGTTCTAAGCTTGCTTTTATTATCACCATTGAGAATCAAAACCATTTATTAAGAATAGCTGCTTCCGATTCTAATTCTTCAGTAAGTTCATTCATATCAGAACTTGACATCCAAATTGTATTATTATCTGCATAGTTGCATAAGTTGCTTTTGTTCAAATGCAGAAAAAGATTGTTTATGTAAATATTGAAAAGCAACGGGCCTAAGATTGATCCTTGAGGAACTCCTTGCTTTGTTTCCATCCAATCACTAAAATTCGGGTTTATTTTTACTAGTTGTACTCTTTCATCTAGATAACTATACATTGTCACTAAAGCCATAAGATTTCAATTTGGCTAGTAGAAGTTTATGGGGTAAGCAATTAAATCCTTTCGATAAATCCATAAGCACGACACCAGCCCCATCTTTTTTATCTAGAAACTTTTTCAGGCCTTCAATAATTCGTAATAAAGCGTGTTGTGTGCTATAACCTTTTCTGAATCCACAAAGCAAAGGAAACAGTTTAAAACTGATGTAATTGTAGTTTTGATTGAATATTGTTCTCTCAAATATATTTGAGGCTGAGGGCATACATTAACCATTTTTAATTCTTATTGCTTTATAATTCTCTTTACTAGTTGAATCTCTTTTTTTTGAAGATAGGGCACACATTAATTATTTTTATAAAGAAAGGGAAAAGTGTTATCATAAATAGATCGATTAAATATTTCAGCTAGTGGTTCAGAAACAACGTCTATTGCCATTTGAAGAACTCTTTAAGGGGATGTTATCGGCTCCTGTTGATTTGTCCTACATCTTTGGAAGTTACATTTTCAAAATTAAATTTAGGATATTGACCAAAAATTTCCTTGATTTTAAAATACTACGGTGGTTATCAAAGCATTTTAATTTAGCTTATAGTGACGAAGCTGTGCTTTCCTCAGACGTTTGTTAAACATTCTCAGATTAAGGTCGGGCAATATTGAGGCTTTCACTAATATTTACGATGTGATTATTCACCGTTTTATTGTCAGACAGGATTTTATCGTTCTCTATCAGTATGATTTCATTTGGTTTTGTATTTTTATCTTTTAATAATGGCTGGATAGTTTTCCAGAATTTTTTGCTATATTTAAAGAATTTTAAATCTAACTTTTCAAAATAACTTTTTTGTGCTTCTAATTAATTTAATGCAATCATTTCAGATTTGTATACTTCTCCCTGTTAGAGACTATTTTATTTTTGTTGAGCTCTCTGTTTGCCTAAGATTTCAGCATAATTAATTTTTTTATATTCATTTTCATGAAAGGCGCATTATTTGCTCTTACTAGCTTTTGCTTCGGAGGGGCATGTTTATCGAGAATAGAAATCAGCGTTTGATTGAAAACATCTTACGATACATTTTCTTTAGGTTTTTCAGGTAAATCGAATTGAAGATCCTCGTTAAATTTATCGGCAGACAAGGATTTATAGCATCTGTATGAAATAGAATTGGGTTCAGATTTTACGAATTCAGTTTTTAGCACAGTATAGGCTAGTTTATGGTGGTCAGACAAACCTGTCTCATATGTACCCGTACGGCTGTATCTCTTGTTTGTTAAGATCAAGTCATAGCATTTTGGCAGATTACGTCTGTAGCATGTTGGCTCCTTCATCAGATTATATAGATCATAGTTTCCCATCAAGTATTAGAATTCTTTCATGGCTTTGTGAATAAAAATCCAATAACTTACATAAATCATCAAGAAAAAAGATGTCGTTTTGGTTAGGAGGGTGATAAATTCCAATAATTAAGAACTGTTGGGGTGTAAGCTTAGGTAAGAAATTTCAGTGGAAAGAAACATTTTCGTTGGGTAAAGAATAGAACACTTTATGCAAGTTGTTTTGACCTTCATCATAAAATTATCTGGAGCGCAATCATGAAAGTTATAGAAATCGAATACTTTGATGTCAACCCAATAAATGGAATTGAAGAGTAGGCAAGAATGTCATAACCGCTTATTTAGAGGAGGTCTTTTTTATTTCATTTTTTGTAACCCGAGGAGAAAAATTGATTGAAAGCATTCGCTACATTTTGGTTTGCCAATCGCAACGACGTGGTTAGAAATTATGATTGATTGTGGTTTATAAATTGAAGGGTCTTCGTTGAAAACGCTGGAACGTCAGAAAGAAATAATTCAGAGAAATTATGAAGTACCAGTGGAAGTACAAGTGGATGCATCAGTTCAGCATATAGAGAACTTAAATTTCTTGGCAGCGATATGTTATCTAGTGGAATTCTTCGGAACAGGGTGAAGAAACACATGTTTATAAAAGTATAAACAGCCCAGATTCAATTTTTATCACAGCGTTTTAAATTTCGTCAAGAAAAATTTCGGCCTTAAAATTCGATGAGATCAATTTTTCTTGCCCTATTTCATCGAAAAAACCCCACCGAAATTTTAGCAAGGGAAAATCTAAACGAGGATTATTCTTCAATACTATGAATTCTAGCCTTAGTATTCTTTGCTATTCTTTATAACTATTATTTATTAATATATTAATATAACATTTCTCATTTAAATTCTTTATACTGAGAAATTTAGTTAATATTATTTAATATTTCGTGAACAAGTTTGATTTCAATGGCTGAAGGAATCGTGCATCACAACAACACGAAAGCTTTTCACGCGTTCAGTTAATTAAAAATGCGTGAAATTCTGCGTTTCTGCGTTTTGACACAATTCTACAACTAAACTTTAACGCTTCAAAAACCTTGTGCCCAAATTGCATTACGCCACTTGACTGACTATGTTTACACAAATACTCACAATTCATATACTCACAATTCATAAACTCACCATATATACACACTTCATAAAATGATTTTGTTTCAGTGATGTGTTTCGTGCAATGGCTTGTCTTCTGTAAACGTTTATTCCCTATAATGGTTGGAGGTCCCTTTTTGGTAGGTGGCCCAGGGCCAGGGCCCTTTTGGACCCACTCCTTAATCTTGCTCTGCAAGTAAATGCGTTATATCAAAATAATGCAAAACAGCCTTTTTGGTGGAATCCAATCAATGCTAGGGAAATGAGGGAGGTAGTTATATTCATATAAAGCGATACATCCCAGTTACAAGGACATTTTCACTCAAATTTACTTGAAAATCTTTGAGCTCTATGTTCTTTCACGGCCTGCACAAAGACCTAACCATAATACAAACGAATATTTTTGGTTACCAATAAAACTATTGTAAAAGCGACTGGGACAGGGTACCAAAAGGCGAACTATTAGCTATAGATAATTATTGTAGAGCTTGATGAAAAGATTCGCAGGTATATCCATTTTGATTTTTAGACTTCAAACTGTTATTGGCATTTCGTGTTTCTTTGAAATGGTTTTGCAAAGCAAAATGTTCTTTGGATATGTCACAGATGTCTTTGTCACAGATGTACATGTTCGATGGAAAAGGATATTTGTTGTGGACTGAGATTAACGAAAGTGCAGTCACAGAATATTGCTGTAGAGTTCTCAAGTGTGACGTCACAAAAAAATATATTTTTAGAATTTTGAAATTTCAACCACATATCATAAAAGAACACCATGAAATACTCCCATATATGCAAAATCAATTAAATTTGTCAAAAATCGGGTGAGCTATGGTCAATAGAAGATTTAAAATTGCTAACGGATTACTGTTATATTTGGCTCAGTTCATAAAGTTATGAACTGACACCAAATTGCAGAGGTTTGATGGGGCCAGACCTTGTGCTCATCTGGTCATATCTCAGCCAATTCGTAATACCTTTAACTGATTATGCAGATTTAGAGGAATCTCACGATGCTCTTTCAGGTTATGGGAAAAAATTAAAAAAAATTCAAAAATAGATTTCGTGACGTCATCACTTGACAACTCTAATCTTTGGTGCAGTATAGGGCTTACAGGATTCTTCAATACCATAGCTTGGCATTAACTCGTGGGCTTGTCTATTAGCTTAGCATTTATGCTGCTTCAATTCGTACAGCCATTTATTCTAACTTTGATGACCGTTTACAAAGTATCTGCCTCTCTTTCATAACAATTTATGCATCTGCCTCTCTTTCAACTTATATTTTGCAACGAACCTGTAATAGTAGATGGTCATGAACACAAATCTAATGGGGAGACGATCTTTTAATGTTTGATGTAGCTCCCTTACTGACTTGAAGCCTAAGAAGGGGGATGATTTACTTATTAGAAGAATGTTTCTTGTTTCTCTCCCCAACAAAAATGAAATTTGCAAACAATCTTGTGGTGGTACAAAACTTGAAAATTGCTTTGAAGAAAGCAAACATTTGAGTAAACTGAAGCTTTAATGGCGAGATGATTCGGATTATTGGTAAAGCCCGATCGTCGTTCCACCTAGCAGTTTTAGAATCTATCTACATAAGCACGAAAAAACCTCTATTGTGTAGACAAAAGGAGTTCGTTTTCACTTTAGGACTCCATTGGTAACATTCTCAATAGGCAAGCAGCACTGATTGGTCAACCTCAACAGTCATGTCCTTGCGCTTCTGATTGGCCTATTTCGATCCACAACTTGGTAAATATATTACCTAGCGCTGAGTTTTCAATCTTTGTTCTGACGTTTTCAACTCTGAAGAGTGTCAGACAAAAAGCTTTAGTTTACAAAAATGAAATTATAGATGAAATCGGAATGGCAAGGGTCGTAGCACTGAATCTTTCTTTTTCATATTTACTCCACGTTACCATGTCATCCAGTTCAGATTGAAATACTTCATCTGTCTACTCAAAATATCATAGCTAGCCAGGCACCTAGTTTGCATCGTAATGACAGAAAATCAAATTCGAGAGAAGTATGATAAAAAAATTGGCCTGTATATGAAAAGCTGTCCTTTTAGAGGGTAAGGTACTTTGCCATGTCATGAAGAGCAAACAAAAACAAAAATTGTACTAAAGCAATCTGGCATCGCCTAATCACTAAGAAACGGGTTGAAGCCAATCCAGCATAAAAAGTTATTCGAAATCGTGTAAAAACAGACAAAGTGTACGAAATCTATAAAAAACTTAGACGGACGTTATCCAAACAAAGGCCGTTTAGCTCACAATTGATTTCGGCCTTAGCAGATTTGAGGCAACAGCTAATTTCCACTGTTTGTTAGGTTTATTTTAATAAACTCTAAAACTGAAGCATCGTTTGTCAAATCTTGAGTAAAATAAATACAGCAAGATGTTTAACAATTCCAAAATTATTAATTATGCAACTGACATTGCCTTTCTGCTAACCTGCATGGTTCTAGGAGCATCAAACGATTTGATCCCAGAGCATACTGCAGTGGTTGTCTGTCTTATTGCAGAAGCTGTTGTGAGGACTGCTGAATTAGAGCTTCTTACTAGCGGCCATTTTGCGAGTAGGCGGCCAGGAATCATGCGAAAAAGAGGCTTCTTGCAGTTTCTCGTGGTTGTCGGACTGCTCTATTTAGAGACCGTTCAGGAGATTGGAGCGGACAACAGCCTTGAAGATACCGAGAAAGAAAAACCGGGTAAAGCAAAATGCAAGCACAAGGAAGAGTCAGTAATCTCTGGTTACAGCATAGCAGTCGAAAGTTGCTTTAAGATTGACCGTTCCATAAAATTGTTGAAGACCAAGTTGGTGTCCTCAGCCATACAATGTCAGCATCAGTGCTATGCCAGCAAAGAGTGCATCTATTTCGCTATTAGGGAACAGCGAACGCCAAAAGGGGACTATGAATGCAATGTATATAAAAAAGGCAATGCACGCAGAAATCATTGCGACGAACTTGAGGGTTGGAGTTTTTACAGAAAGGTAATTTGTTTTATATTTGTAACGTAATGTGAATCATAAAAAGCCAAATATCTGCATGAAAGAATACATTTTCACTATTAAGTAGTGAGACTGACGAGCAAGGAAAAAACTTATTGTGCTTTAAGTGAAGGATAAAACTTGTTGTGTTTAACGCTAATGCTTTGTATTAAAAGCACAATGTCCCGTGAGTCAAACGTTCAGGGAACAATAGGCTTTGCAGTGCGTTTATGGCCGAAAAAAACATTGAGAATCAGCCTTACGTCGCCGATTGGATACGTAACAATTGGTTCATTGTGTTGTCCAACCAATGGTAAATTTAAATGGCCAGCGAAATGTGACTGGGAATAGTGCCTTAAACAGATTGTAACTTATGTTTATCGTTTCGTCATAATGGGTCATTTAATGCACTGATCATCTGATGATTCCCCAATTTTTTGAAACATTATTTAATAAAATAAACGTTCACGAATGTTAAGATAGCAAAGGGAGCATTGATACCAAGGCAAATTCAAACACGTTGTTTCTGATCAAACACAGCCGGTGCTCGACTGTTCCCTTTTTCACATTAAACATTTCTCTAAAAATTAAACAATACTTATTTTTTGAAGGATACCATTATGGTAATTTTGTCCATACTAGTAGCTGTAATCTTTTTTAGGATGCCTACAACGAAAAAGGAAAAGAAAAAAACAGCAAGGGGAAGAAGGAGGTTCGATAAAATTAACCTTACTCAGTGACTTGAACCACATTTTTTAACTCCAAGATTAGAGAAATGTTTTTAACTTGTTTGTTTAGACAGTAGAGTGTTTAGAATTTTAGAGTGATTTAATTTTTTCGCAATCAATTTCTTGTTACTGAAACCACATTTAAAATGCACAATTGAACACGGGCTTGTCCCGGATTACAAATTACCCGGCTTTGCTTCGGTCAAATTGTACCGTAAGTGTTGGTACGGACCACACCACGTTTATTTCTTGATTCGATCTGGATAGTTACACTACCAAAATCTAACCCTGGTTAGTTTAATCCGTGTTGAACCCAGACTAGAAGGGCCGGTACACAAGTAACATAAAGTCAGCCTGCATAGAGAGAATCATTCAAATATCGATGTGTCAAACGAAACAACCTTTGTTTCGAGGTGTCAAAGTAGGATATCCATCGTACAAAGGATATCCAACTCTGAAGTCACTTAAAACTGCAAGCAACCGATGCCACCTTCAAGGCTTCTAGTCTGACAGTGCGAAGGATAGACGCTTATAGGTACTAAGTTTATTTACACTTTGCGGGGCTGTAATTGGCTCAACAGCACGAAAGGCCATGTGACTTGGCGCAAACTCTTAGGAAGACCTTGTTACCAGGTATTACAATTATATCGAGCTCTAGACAGACGGAGGAATGAACTAAACTTGGCTGCGTAGTGTCTCAGTTCTAAACGATCAATAGACGAAGCATGGGATGATGAAACAAAGGCGAATAAACACGAATTCTTATAAGGCTTTTCGCTCGATGAAACATTCCAGGATCTGCGATTCATAAAAAACAACTAACAGAGATCACTGAGCACCGTAAAAGCTTCTGCAAAGCAAAAATTGTAAACGCAATTGTATAAACCCATAGATAAGAACATAAGTTATAAAAGCATGTGGGAAGTTGCGATAAGGCCAATTTGATAAGGACATTATTTATCACGTTATCCAGGAAGGTTTCCTATTCAAATAAAAGAGGTTTTAATTTCTATTCAGCAGTGCAATGTAATAAAAAGTTAATTTATCCAGAAAACAAGGATTGGAATCCCAAAACGATAACATGCAAGAAAAGTGAAAAGAGAGCTTTGGAAGCAAAAATTCTATAACCTAAACCCTGCGAGTAACTTGAAAATTATCATGGAACAAGAATCTATAAAGGACTGAAAATGTAGGTTCATACAGACAGGTATCTATTGTAATACCGCCCAGTGTAAAATATGTACTAAAACGTAAGCGGTGATCAGATAACCGAAATGTGATGTGTCAGGTATGCTCCTTATTGCAAAAAGAATCTCAACACTGGCTGTCTCTAGCTTGCGCCAATACAAGCTATTATTTTATGAGTATTTAAATGCGAAATAGAGCAAAATATGACATAGTGCGCTTTCTATCAGAGCAGATCTGACAGAGGATTATTCTAGGAACGTCTGCCCACATCTTCGAACTAACTTTCGCAGAGTCTTCTCTAAGTGAGAACTAAGTCTTCTCTTGACACAAATGTTCACAAATGTGTTCTAATTGGGGAAATGATGTTCTCTATACCTTTATTGGGCTTTTTCACAAGACAAAAACACCCAAAGATGCATTACTTTGAATGATATGTTTTATTGTCAGCTTTTTACGCCTAATTTTAAAAGCGCCAAGACAACGCTTGAGTGGCACTTCCGTGTCAAAAAGGATTTCGCAACAAAAGAGGGTTGAGTTAGAAAATGAAAACTTATCGATATAATCTGATATCATCTTCAATACACTTTAATTACCAGTCCTTCATTACTTAAAAAACTAACTAGCAAATATCGAAAAAATTCATATAATACAAGTCATGGGACGGCGATCAACCTTCTGCGATCTACCGTGATTAATGCGATCTTTGATCATTATAAGCACGAATCAAAGCATTGCTGTGACGTAATTCCGAAAGTGATCTTCGATCGCTGTGATTTCAATTGCGACTTACTTCAGTTGCAACAGGTTGTGTTTGATCAATAAAAAGCTGAATACGATTAAAAACTAAGGGCTGACGGCCTAACTGTCACTTGCAAGCCTTGCTTAATCTAAACAGTTTTTGTCAGTGTTGGAAACGACAAAAAGGATCATTGTGTTAGCATTATCTTCACGTTCTTTGGAGTCGATTCATCGTTCAAATGCTTCGTTGTATACCGCAAAGCATTTAGCAAGCCATCTACTGTTCCATGCGTGGCCCCATGCGGGGATGGTTGTTGATCTTTCAAGATTTTTATTGAAGCTCTCATCTAGAATTCATAAATAAAACTTCCATCAAATATTTTTATCCAGAGCGGGTTTAAAATAACCTTTATATTTCTGTTATCTTAACTACGACACAAAAATTAGGCCATTCTCCGACAGCATATCACTGTAAACTTTCCTTGTTATTAAAAGTTAGGTTATTGACATAATTGTCAATTACACGAACATACTGAAGAAAATAGGATTCTTTGATCTTTAACAGAATATGAGCAACAGCAAGCAGATAAGAAGAGCCGTCTAGGAAATGAACAAGAAAGGAGCCGAGAGGGAAAAAAGGGAGGGACAACACTATGAGCAAATTTACGATATGCTTAAAACTGTCTCAGTCAGTTCCACTGATCAATTAACTGTTACAGCCAGTTCCATGAGTAATGGGGGTAGTTTCATAGGCCGGGTATCTAGCCTTACCTATTTCCTATTCTCTGTCTTGATCAGTAACATATGCTGATTTACCAGGCATATTTTATATCTTTAGCGATAAGTTAACTTCATAATATCAAAATTCAACGCTACAGATGGTGAGTGCAATTAGTTAGGCTGGAATTGTTAGAGAGACAAGACAAAGATGTGACTAAGTAAGAGAGGTTACAATGAGGTAGAGTTAGAGAGAACTTAGGTGAGGTAGTGATAAAGAGAGACAGAGATGAGACAGAGTTTGAGAATCAAAGATGATATAGTGTTGGAGAGACAAAGGTAAGGTAGAAATTGAGAGACAAATATGAGAAAGGGTCAAAAGTGAGCCAGAGTTAGAGAGAACTTAGGTGAGGTAGTGATAAAGAGAGACAAAGATGAGACAGAATTAGAGATATAACAATCAACTTACGTCAATAGCTGCATTTTTAGCAAACGCGCCAACAGGATGCACATGGTCATACAAAATGATAACACCAACCTGAAAATAGACACGACGACTTGATAAATAAAGGCTATCTGTTGTCAGAATAATCAGCTTCATATCCACTAAAAACGATTTTTACCCTTTATTACTTTCATTTTTTAACTTTTCATTTTTAGCTTGTAATTACTTTTCATTTTTAACCATGTAAATACTTTTATTTAGAACAGGGCCCTTATTGATAACAGTGCTTTGGCACTGAAAAGGTTTTACCCTGTATAAATATTTTTCTATTATTATTAATAATAACTGAAAAAGTGTCCAATATTTGTCATGCTTTTGAGACCAACTTCATGACCAGTGTGGAATATAAGGTCTGTGTATTCTGTGCCTAGGGGATCTTTGGTAGAGATGGCAGTCTATTCAAACATTGATGGGTGACAAAAACTGCCATTTGATTTTCCTAATACGTTACGAGCCAAGTTTTTGTCGCTAAGCGCTTTGTATTTTGTCAAATTTGCACTGTAGTAAACATTTTATGTACCCCACTTTAACACATGACTCAAACTTTTAACAAATTGTCACATATGATGAAAAACTCCATGTTACAATGAACACAATTTCTCACAAAAGTGCATTGCAAAGCAAGAAATTTTATTTCTGATGAAATATATGCTTGGTTAAACAATTGTCATGATAACAAAATAAGAGAAAACTAATTGTCTACATAAAGATTATATATAGAGAAAATTAGTAAATAGAAAAAGCAGAGTATGTTTTTGCTTGGCTTGAAAGGCAGGCTGTGGTGCACAGAGTCAGGCATCTGGCTATGTGGATATTTGTTAACTGAGGTTGACCAGAAAACAAACACTGAACAGCGCCAAATATATATATATATATATATATTATATAATATATATATATATATATATATATATAAATATATATTATATATATATATATATATATAAAGATTTAAAGAAAAACAACATATACATACAAGAGATGGAGAAACACTGAACAAGGACACAGTCACACAATATCTTAGGAAGTTTGAAAGACAAGACCTTCTAACAACAAACACACATGAAAGTGTTACACTTGAGGAGCACTGAAGTAAATTAAAGGAAGAGGCTTACCATAACTCGCAGGCAGAAGAATTTTGTTTCTTCATTTTGAAACCTGCATGCGATTGCCCTTAAAACAGAAGATTGTAAATGTTACTGACTTTGATAAAAAAAGGCAACTGTACAGCTGCAATTGACTGTAATTTTCCTCAAAGCTTTTGTTGTCTCATGTCAAAAATTTGCAGTTAAAAATTCCAGTCAGTTGCCAACTTAAAACTACTTAAAACTTAGTTTGCCAACTAAGACAGATTAGGTCAGACTAGTAAATAATTTCTGCAGGCCAAACCATAAATGTAGGGATCACAATTCCACAATTCCGACCACTGTTTTCATATTCATTCGTAACATTCTCATTTTGTGTTGGTTATTAAGTTTCCTCTTAAAAGTATGATGTCACAGCCTCTAAGTTTCGCGAAAATTGGAATAAGATGCTCCCAACAAAAATACAAGTTTCTATTAAACAAATACTTCTTGTTAGATGACAAATTTACACACATTGAAGCCCTTTCAAAGTATTTGAATTAATGTACTTACGGATTCTCTATCATCTCCCTACAAAGTTTAGCTAAAGTACCAAGCATATCTGTCGTATTTTCAATTGGTAGACTTTTATTCTGAAAAAAGAGAAGAACTAAGTAAACAAGAGGAGGTAAAATTATTGCTTTGTGTCGTAAATTTATTGCCCCATCTGTGTAAAAGAGAGGAAGAATTTTGATGCAATAACTGTTAACCCAAGTGCAAACTCTAGCAAGTGTGAAAGCTTTTTTGCAAATATTTCAAATGTACCATACAAAAAGCAAAGCATAACTGCATAGTTTTTAGATTCTTGTTCTGATTCTGTATTTAAAATGCATAAAAAACCATCAAAAAAGCTTTAGATGCAAATATCTTTAAAAGCAAGAAGTATTTTGAGAGGACTGGGTATAGAGGCACCAAGGACTGGGTAGGTATGCAAGAGGTATTGTTCAAGAAGTTCAGAACTCTCTCCTATGATTTAAAGTTCCTAAGAAATGAAATTTGACAAGTTTAGATAAAGGCACACTTTTAATAAGCAAAATTTGTTGATTTCAATGGTATAGGTTGAGGTGATTCTTTTCTTGCCGAACCGTCTAAAAATTTAGGTTGAATATCCCATTTTCATGTTTTTGACTGTGACAAAGCGCCGTTATCTGTGACGTCACAAATTTTGCAAACACAGAAGCAGTTGACATTTAGTACATGGAGGTCGTTAATTGAACTACCGTTAAAATAGCCGTAGGGGGCAATTTTAAGTCAGGGTACATATCCAATCTTTTTAAGCGGATCAAACTGTCCTTTTTTCGAAAGTTTCATACTATTGATACTATTGTACCAAAGTACAACTGAAATACGATAATACCGTCTATCAAGATCTTGGGCGGTGGACCCCCCCAGTCTAAAAATAGAAAAGGGGGGAAATTTTCAGAGCGCGTCTTTATCCTATCATTTCCTGTGTATCAGATTGCTGTCTATTGCAATGTTTTCTGCTATTGTACCTACTTTCCGCAGAGATATCAAAAGAACGTTGTTTGTGGAGTCATGCCATAAAATACCCTAGTCTAAAAATAGCCCAAGGGGCAATTTTCTGTTGGGGTCTATATCCTATCATTTTCAGCGAATCAAACTGTCCTATTTTGCAAAGTCTGGCGCTGTAGTACTAAAGTACGATTGAGATGCAATCAAACCATCTTTTTAGGTCTGGAGCAAAGAACCCCAGTCTAAAAATAGAAAAGGGGACAATTTTCAGTTATGTTCTATATCTTTTCTTATGTACCGCATCAAACTACCCCATGATGTAAAGTTTCGTTCTACTATACCTACTTTCAGGAGAGATGTTGTAAACACACCATACAGTTTTCAGTTGGGTTCCATATCCTATCTTTTTCAGCGTATCAAACTACCCCTTTATGCAACTTTTCATGCTGGTATTACAATTTGCACAATTGTTTGACTAACAGCCCTGACGAAGTGGTATGGTGTGTTTACTGCGAAGTTGGAACCAACTGCAAACCTTGTGACATCACTGATTCTTATGCTTTGTCACTCACATTCATTGTTTTTATACCCCAAAAACAGACCTTCCTGTGAGATTTTCGAGATAATTTTCCTTTTATATTGCAACAACATGTAGAAGTTTCATTTTCTTACAAAAAAACTATATGTGAAACTTCATTTCATAGGCACTTTAAAGGTATTTTCCTTAAATGAATACGAGCATTGATAGAGGCTACCACAGCCATTACCTCAATTGAGAGATAACACAAAATTAAGAAAAATTGCTCACTACATGCAATATAGAAGAAAAGAAAGTAAAATATAGTAAACTTAAACAAAACAAAGAGAAAACTACTCACATCAGAAACAAACTTTCCAGTAGCATCACTCAGGGTCTTTAGAAATGGCGTTGGATAAGCGTAAAACAATGACATTCGGTTGGCCATTTCTGTTGAAACTTGCAAACAGTTTTCTTCTGATCCATCCTTGGTTTTGAAAATGATTGAAACAAAATTAGTTAATAGTTTACACACATGGGCATAAAATTATGTATCAAATATCTGAAAAAAAAGTAAAAATATTTTCACTCTCGTAAGTTGAAAGAAATTGATGTGCAATAACAATTTGCAAAATACACAACAAAAATTTCAAAATGTATTGTCAGTAGCTAACAGGCTTGACTCACCATCCGTTTTCGACTTAGCGTCCTTCTGTAATAACTAAAGTCATTCTGAATAGAAGGGTTGCACATCTACAAGAAAGAAACAAGTTTTAAAATATTATAACAATAAAGACAGCAGCTTAAATATAAGAAACCCAACAATAAATAAACATTTGATTATCTCACAGATCTTCCTATTTATCGATAGCAAAATTTGTATGTGTAATGTTGCACTTTAATGGCTTCACAGGAACAACTGAAATGAAAGCAATTCCAGTGAATAACGTCGACCTAGGAGACATTGGGACCAAGAACTGCAGCCCCTTCTATCAGGTGTACCTTAGTCACACATCAGGCTCAACCAGGCAGTTCTATCTCAATGTAGCAATGACATTCAGTCATGGTGACAATAGGTGTAGGATTACATGCATACGCCACCACACACGCCCAATATTCCATAGGTGCTCTTGATATTACATGCACAGCATCACGTTTTGACTGACCATTCTTTCATCTCTTTCTCTTATTTTAATTTCTTTTAATTTTTCTTTTAAATTAATTTTTGGATTCTTTGAGTGCCTTATCTTGATAGCATATCCAGAGGGCAAAGATCCATAATAAGCCCCCCCCCCCAAAAAAACGATTTGTATCTGCTCAACCATGATAGATATCCAGAAAATAAACTTGCATAGCAGTTTTTTCTAAATCATTTCTAGAGACAATAAAATGAATTAACAAAGGAAACACCCCAGCCACTGGATGAACACTTTCTTTGTAATTTTGGATCTGCTTAATCATACTTCCTCAATTATGAAGCTTTTACTGTATATACATTTTATTGGTAGATAAAGGCAGCAACAGACATAAAAACTGACATCTAGGCATTGAAATATAACCAACCTTCAAATCATCAAACTTTAAAGTATAATGTAATATTTCCGCAAATTGTTTTGCCAACGCTTGGTGGCTATCTAGCTGCAAAAGTGGTTCATTGCGACTGCCACACAGTGAGTACAAGAGCTGCGGTAAAACATTTTCTGAAAGAGAAATGTTTCATTATATGTAAATAACATCTATTGGTTTACCATTCGCATATTATTATCATTAATTTGCTCCTTCATTATGAAGTTATGTTGGTCAAGAATGTATAAGATTTAAACGAGAACAAAGACCAGTTTACTCTGCATATTGCTAAAAAAAATTGTTTTTCATTTTTGATATAAAAACAAGCATAATAAAAAACGACAAATGATATAACTGCTACAAATGAAAATTTCAGTATCAGATGAAACAATGCAAGTCTTCAAAATAAATTAAGAAACTTAAAGAAAAGACTTACCTAGCTGTATAGAAAATTCATAGAAGCGCTTTAACTTGGCAACTAACGGAAGGACAGCAGCCCAGGCATACTCTTGCAGACCATCATTCCTTGGATTAGCAATTGCTTCCCTAATTTCTTCACTTGCACCTTTGTACTCTTCTAGTTCTTTCAAAATCTCTGGGGCAAGCCCTAAAACCTCTCTTACGACTTCATACACTTCTCTTTCACTTTCTGTTGGTGAAGCATCTAGAATGGAAATTTAAAATAGCAAAATTATTTTATATTAACAAATAAAAGTAGGCAAATCAGGATAGAATAATACAATTTACTTCTTTTCATACATATCGAGGTGTAATAATGAATCACAGGTCGCTTAGGGTCAGGGAAGGCTCCCCTACCAATATGACATCCAGCAAAGCACGAATCCTATCGGGATTTGTTATGTCCCCCAAAAGGTAAACATAAACAGCAGCCCATGATAAGTATTTATATGTCATATTATTTCATTTTTGATTCATGCTTGATAGAATGCTTAAAAATTGTATTATTACAGGAATTTATTGAAGCTTGCTTCCTGAACTTGAATCAACAACATCAAATAAAATCAAATCTTAAATCAAGATGACAATTAGCCAAAATACATGACATTCTCTATCCATTGTCAATTTACTGACAAGTGACAAATTTGCATGACAAATATGCATGACAGCTAAAAGTATAGTATGTGATAAACAGAGGTTTCACTGGCATGCAACATAAATAATATACATATATGTATATATATATACGAGCATATTAATTGAAATAATTAGAAAGAAGGAGAGGAATGCAATGACTTCAAAATGATGAAGATCATCAACTCACTTTCAAAGTCAATGAAGATATCAGTGTTGCCTGGTTCTGACTGCCTTGTAAGAACTTTTAGAAGGTTACCCATCCCACCATTGGTTTCAGCTGAAAATGATGTATACAAATTGTTCATTCATAAAATGATAAATGTATGAAATATTTCTTTAGTGTATATAGAGAAGTTAAATTAAAACATTTTTAAAGTTATGTTTTATCTAAAAAACAAACAAGGTGTGTGGATTCATTCAAATTCCCATTACCAAATGTTCAATGCTTCTTTAAAGGAAAATTTGTCAACTTTTTAAAAATGTGTGATATCTGTCTGTTGCTCAGCTTGACCACTTGATTTTATTTCTCTTGTCCTTCTTAAGTGTGCTAGACCTGCACAACACCCATGAGATTCAGTAGATGTAATGGACTATCAAAATGACATCTGAAGCATTTCAAAATCCAATGAGCACAAGTAGGAAGGGGTACCATATCACAGGAAAAGTAGCAATATTGCAGATAGGTTACCTTAAGAAAAGGGCAGATATTAGAAAGCAATTTATCAAATTTGTAAAATGCTAACTGCCTTTCTAAAATTACTTTGAAACGAATGATGAAATGTTATCAACAAATGCATTATCAAATGTTAACAGGACATGTTATCAACAAATTAAATATAATATATATGTAAGTAAAGCATCACAATAAAACACTTTTAATCTTAAAAGAGCAGAAGCAAACATAGAAAAACATTGAACAAGAAACATAAATGTTTAAGTGTTATCTAATAAATTCAAGAGTAATGCAGTATATTTGCAGCAATCATTCAAAATCAAGTTGGTATTTTAAAGGAAGACTGGAAAAAATCAAATTTGTGAGAAATAATTTTACTTTGATCAATTTTACAACTTTAGAGAGGCAACAAATCAGTAAAATATCAGACTTCACTTTTGGTTTCACCATTTAGTGACACTGAAGTACACCAAAAATGTTGGTAGAAATATTAGGACCAGCGGTGAAACAAAGGGATAGTAAATTACCCATTAAAGAAAAGGCATTTATAAGAAATAGAGCTTTTCATTGTGAAAGTAACTACGACTAGTGTCTTTTTCTGAGTGGCGGTTTAGCTCAAAAAAGAAAATTTTATCATGAATTCGAAGTGGAAGTGAACCAGACAGAAAATTGTACAGAACCAATTAAAGGAAAACGTCGTAAATGAATCTAAAGCCGATTGCCTTCCAATAGCACGACAGAGCTTTGCAGCAGTCGATAAATTTGTACGGACCTCCAACTTCCTTGTGTTAACAGATGTACAGATACCAGGCCATTGACGATTAGGTGACTTACCTCGGAAGCTAACAGTCCATGAAGTTTGGGCCTAGACCTCTTTGCAACTTCACTTTAAGTCAAAATGTACAGCCAGCTTCGAGCATAGATTAGAGAATGAGTTTATCACGATTTTAAAATGACCTGGAAATGCACAAAGCGTGTATCAATATCGGCAACTCTTTTGAAAGTGTATGGATCGTGGTTCAACTCTGCAGCCTTCACATACGATACGGGTGCATGGCGGAAACTCGGCAACAGGAACACACCCCGGCTAATATCCCACAATGCAATAATATCCTTCGCAGCGACGTTTGGAAAGGAGAACACACCCAGAATGCACCCGAGGATGTGGCAATACTTTGAGATCCCCGAAACAGCCCCCCTGACTAAATTTATGTGAAAGTCACCCATGCAGATGGCTAGCATTTTCACAATTTTAAAGCTCATCTTAGGGAGACAAAACATTTTCTAAGCAATATTGACAACACAAATGTTGCTGTATATTTTTGCATGTACATCCATTGAGATCATGAAACTGCCTTGGATGTTAAAGAAAAAGTGTATTTTATCTGTATGCCCAGAAGCAAAACCACGACCTTACCACAGGCAGAGAAAGGTAGATTCCGAAAACTCACCATTCTATAGAAAAAGGCTGTATCTGCCTGGATTCGAGGAAATTTCTGGGAATTTGAAAATATGGCTGGAAAAGAACCTATGTGTAAATATGTAGTGATTCAATTTAGGCCACTTTATACAATCCATCATTGCTTCTTCTGCATACCTACGTAATTCTATATTCATCATTATCTATGTTAATTACACGTCATTTTAACCTAATCTATCACACCATTGTTAACCATCGAGCATATCCTTTCCTTTGTATAACTCTTAATTAAGTTTGCCAGTTTTCTATATCAATACGCACTTTTGTAAATTATAATCAGTCAGTAGAAATCACGTTACACACTGCACAAACAGTTTGCATCTCTCTGGCTCCGTGTCCTCTGCACGTAAAATAAGATCGCACTGGTTGAAACAGCACGTTTGTCGTTTAATGGACATTTTAGTCAATCATCGATCGATGTTCCGATGAACACTAAATTGGTGACCACGACGTGACCGCGGTTGCTTCGACACGCACATTCTACGACGCTGTTTTCAACGCACCACAATGCACATGCACCATCATCAAGCAGAACTCGAATCACCGTAGTGCCAACTCGCAACAAGCGAACACAGCAGCGCTCGACTCACCGTAGTGCTACGCTACACCATTCGCATCAAGGCAGCAAACAGCATCGGACATTGTCTCACACGCCTCACCCATCTACGGCAGCAACAAGGCATTTCGTTCTTTGCTCACACATACGCCTCCAATCCATCGCAGGTTCCTGGTCATCCTACACATAAAACCAGAGATGCACATTTCAGGGTTCCTGGTCATCCTACGCCAAAAACCTCGGCACAGCAAGCACCACTCTCCGCACAAATTCTGCAAGATGTCAATTCACACCACAAGAGCTGGCAAGTAACATGCACACCAAAAATGAACATTTAATTTCGAACTCTAAAACTTAATTCGTTCTCGTCATTGCATTTTTTTTTCTCGCTTTTCTCCCTACGTATCGAATGCTTCACACTCGCTTGCATTCTAGGGAGGGGGCTATTGTAGTGATTCAATTTAGGCCATTTTATACAATCCATCATTGCTTCTTCTGCATACCTACGTAATTCTATATTCGTCATTATCTATGTTAATTACACGTCATTTTAACCTAATCTATCACACCATTGTTAACCATCGAGCATATCCTTTCCTTTGTATAACTCTTAATTAAGTTTGCCAGTTTTCTATATCAATACGCACTTTTGTAAATTATAATCAGTCAGTAGAAATCACGTTACACACTGCACAAACAGTTTGCATCTCTCTGGCTCCGTGTCCTCTGCACGTAAAATAAGATCGCACTGGTTGAAACAGCACGTTTGTCGTTTAATGGACATTTTAGTCAATCATCGATCGATGTTCCGATGAACACTAAAAATATGTGGAAAAATTTACTTTTACATGTGTAAGTAAAAAAATGATTTTTAACACAAATGATTTTCTCTGTGATAAAAATCTAAACCGAAAATACAACAAAAACATAGCTGTGTTTATCCAAATAGAATGTAGACGACTATCTTGCCTTGCAAACGTTTCAAAATACAAGTGAACTTCACTAAAACTTTTCAACAAAATAGGAGTCCCTGGTCCGATGTCAACCATTATACGGCGCAAAACAGATTGCAAATTCGCTATATGTTGAAAAATAGCACTTTCTTGCACAATACGCGAGAAACAGGTAATGAAAACTTGCACGGTTCAGGCTGCATCATGCTACCTGGAGGAGAAAGGTTCGTGCTATTTCCTTTTTCGGTTGTTGAACCTGTAATGAAGGTTATAGAAGAATATGAAAAAACGTAGAATTTTCCTGATGCTGCCAAGGGTGAGTTTCGATGTGAAAAAAATGAGAACTTGAGAATCCTTGGCTGGTTGAACTACAGAGCAGTTGAAATGCAAAGAACAAGCAGGGTTATCGTATATATAACATTTTGTTACTAGATGAAGTGCAAAGTTAGTCAATTAAGTTTATTTGCGACTTCGTATCGACAAGTTTATTTAAGACACCTCGTATCGACAAAGCCTACGAGAACAACAAGTCCATTAAATGTTGTTTCATGTCAATAATACAAGAAATGACAAAATAAATCATTTATCCGTCACCGAATCTAATAAAGCGCACTAGTCAGTTTAGAACTGGTATGATACAAGCTTCATAAACTATATATAAAATTAAATATAACTATATATATTTACATCATTTCTAAGATATTGCAACGAGCAACAAACATGTAATAGACATTTTTGTCTTTTCTTTTTATTTTCTATGGAAGACATAATCAAATCGACATAACGACTCGCACGGCCAAGACACAGGGTCCGACAAAATATGTACAAAGAATTTCCTAGCCAATGCCACCTTTGATTTCAACACACTAGCATTCGAGCAGGTCAAAGGCCACCTGAACTCTGTCATCTGATCAGGTCAAAACAATCCTAAAGACACTTTGCTACGCTATGGGCACTTGGTAATTGATGCAGTTTTCATACGTGTTTGGCCTAAAGACTTCTTTAAAAATGGCTGATGACAGTGAGATTACCTGATTTATTGATTTACCTTATTGCAGTTTGAGACAACAGTAAGAGGCAACGACGTAGAACAAGTAAGCGTGTAAAATATATGAATTTATGGCTCTCAGGCTTTATGAGTAGCAATTTGAGCTTGCTACTACTGCTGTTTGTTCACATAATATGTTAGCAAAAATCCGACTGTATTACTTCATTGTGATCTTTGTTATGATAGAACAGAAAATGAAGTTTAGGATAACTCTTAACCAAGTCATATTGGAGTTTATGGTATAATCTTGCCATTTTTCTGCGGACATTAAGCGTTAGGTTGAAACTTCACTTGTAAAGCTTTGCTTAAAACTTCTAAGCGCGTTCTGTTACAAGAAACAAGGAGCTAACATCTAGAGGAAATGGATCAATCTTTCCTTTTTAGGAACTATATTATAGTTGGGAAGTTGCTTATATTACGTGGCTAAAAAGGAACATTAAAATAAATTGGTGTCGGGAAACGCTTCATAAGATCTGTTTTCTAACACTTGAAAAGATAGCTCGAGAATTTCTATCACTATTACACTTCGAACAGTTTTAAAAATGCTTAGGCCGAGGTGTCTTCTGCCATGACATCGACCAGTTTCAAACTGTTTTTCTTTCTTTTATTCTTTTTTCTATTTAGATTCTCTAAGAAAGCCTCTTCTACTTTTATTCTCCCAAGAATATAACGATCATCTGTAGTGCCATATTTTATCCACATGGGTAGGCCGAAAGGAAGTGTCCCAAAATGCTTGTGCAGTAATCGAAAGCGATCAATGCCCTGCTTCTCACTAAGTTTCTCCACTGTTTCAAAATTAGACATAAAATTGTCTACAATCTTCAACATTTCACCACTTTTTTGATCGTAGCTTTCTAAAAGGCAAAAAGTACAGAGCTTAAAAAAGCGGTTGCTTTAAAAAACAAACTTTTGAGAGCAACGCTCAAATCCAGCCCTCTTTTCTATGTTAAAGGAACAAGTCGACAGCTTGAGGGTATAGGGTGCTCACAAAAAGCGTAAGGATGCAGAATTTGCTGTGTTCCTGGTTGATGACGTAGTTTTAATTGAAATGCAAAAAAACAATCAAAAACCTCAACAAGTGAGTAAATGCTCTGTAAAAAGTATATGGCAAAAAAACCAATTTTTCTGAACATAAAGTATTATTCCTGGATTTCTTTAAACTGATAACCCATCAAAGTTATCTAACTAGGTGCCAAGGAGCGTTATAATTTAACTAAGGACTTTCATTGTCTAGCATTCTGAGCAAAATGAGAAACTGCAAGCCACATAAAAAATAAAAACGCACGATTTAAACCACTCACTTTTCACAACAAAAGAAGTTAAACGAAAATAAAAGAAATTTTTATAAGAATACCTTTTAATATTTCGTTAGCTGTCTTTTTAGGAAAGACCCGGTTGCGTCTGAGGAAATAGAGTCGGATCAGGTAGTTCCATGCCATGCCCAGGATCATTACTATTGCAAACGTAACAAGAAGTTGCTGCAAAAGAACTCTGAATTCAGTTGAATCTTCATCAAAAAGGCCGCTGACCCCGCCATTGCTCTTGGTCACCACAGGAATCTGAAATGGACAAAGTCGATTGCTCATGTCTGTAAGAGCACCATTGTGAAATACACGCGGTCCTAATAATGTGGTTCATGTTCTTTCAGCGAGTTTTCAACCCAAAATGTCGCTGAATTTTGGAGCCATCTTGAAACCAATGACCGAAAGCTTATTTTTAGAATATCATGGCCTTGAAACACGCTTTGCTGTGAAACGATAACATTAAAAGTTAAAATAAAAACAACATTTGACTGCCTGATCATTCGAATGATCCTTGATCGAATAATAACCTCGTCATGATTTCCTCTATAAAGGCCTACTTTTCAATAATTTCAAATTTGAAGATTCAAACTTTCGACGATACAAACAATGTGTCTTTAAAATTTCGATTATTCCTGCTTTTGATAATTTCAATTTTTGATGAAATCAAACTTTCGATAATTTGAATTTCTGGCAAATCAAACCTCTGATAAATCAAACTTCTGATAACGCAAAGTTATGGAGTTGCTGCTTTGGGTTTTTCGAAAAGATTATCAGGAAAAATACTTCCGAATATTTGAAGAATATTAATAATAATACTATAGAATATTGATGATTTTTAAAGAGACTGCTGCATGAATCTTAACGTGGTTTCATGGAAGGTCGATTATGTCCCACAGAGTTGATAGAGTCAGTTGATGTGCGGACAAGACTTTAAGAGGACGGAATACCAGTTGATGCTGTGTACTTGGATTTTGCCTTCTGATTCAGTACCACACAGGAGGTTACCGATCAAATTGGAGAGCTATGGCAATCAAGAGAATATTCTAAACAGGATAAAGGAATTTCAAACATAAAGAAGGCAGAGAGTTGTTCTGAATGGTTCACCCTTTAGATGGGCACCTGTGAACAGTAGTACTCCTCAAGGTTGCATCCTTGGACCACTTCTATTTATGCTTTGTTAATGATATGACAGAAATAGTAACTAGCATGATTAAAATGTTGCTGATGACACAAAAATATTTGCAAGGCGCAATAATGATGAGGACAGAGAAAAGTTACAAAAGGACATGGAATCTTTGCAAGAGTAGTCTAGATTTTGGCGATTACAATTTAAAGCAGGTAAGTGTAAAGATTACTGCATTCAGGTAGAGGAAATCCGAAGCATGAAAATAACATGTTAAGAGAAGATCAACAAGAGAAGATTCAATCAACGGATTGCCAGGAAGATTTAGGAGTGTACATAGACAAAGAAATGAAATTTTGACAAAGGCAAATCACATATAGACAAAGCAAATGTGTTCAAAAGTTCAAAAAATCAAATGGTATTGTAGAATCAAGCGATCCTTGATGATATAGACAAAGAAATATTCAGAACCTTATTCAAAAGTTTGGTCAGACCCAATTTGGAATATGGCAACACTGCAAACAGGACATAGAGGTAAAGAAAAGCGTTCAGTGAAGAGGAAGTAAGATGGTACTGGAACTAAAAGATCCTATATATGAAGATAAATTAAAGCCATTGGGTCTTTCAAGATTGGTTTACCATAGGCTACAGGGTGATATGATTGAGACAAACAAATATCAAAATGTTTGTTTTGATGTTAAGTCTGGGTTGATAATGAAAGCATATGGAAAAAGACATAACACAACACATAAGATATAACACAGACATTAGAAAGCGTGTTTATTGTGACAAGGTTGTGCAAGGATGGAGCAATCTTTCAAGAGACATAGTAAATGCCAAATCATTGAAATCTTTCAAAAAGATTACTATGAGGACACGAAATAGTTCTGTGACGTAGTATTTCTTAGTTAGTAAGAATACTTAATGTATGCGGCTGCAAATGAGCATGTATAATGTATTTGCAGCTGCATATCCCCAGCTAATTTGCAGCCGCATACCATGCTAAATAAAGTGATAATTGTGTTTTAAGTAGTTCAGTGTAGTCCCATTACAACATGCTCAGGCACAACATCACCGGTTACATTAAATCCTTCTTTTAGGCGAATGTTTCTAACATTTCTACAATCTAATCTTGCAAGATCCATGCTATAATTAAACAATACATTACTAAAATGATAATTAAAACTTTGTATCAAATTAAACTGTAATTGAATCGAAAAGAACAGAATGCAAATACGTATTATGTTTTATGTATAATTTCAAGCTTTCATAGTTTGAACTTTTAACTCGGCCATTTGACGATTCTTACTTTGACAATTCAAAACTTGATTATTACAACTTTTAATGATTCGAGTCTTTCGAGCTTCCGAAAATTCGAAATTCTAATAATGCGAACAAATTTTACATGCTTTTGATAGCCTAACTAGCAGGCGCTAAATGTTTAAAAAATTCGCAGAAATGAAAGTGTTATGAAGGAAAGATAGCTTTCATGTCTGAAATAATCGAGCACTCACCTCCACCTCCTTGGTGAAATTTTTTACCAAACTTTGTATAAGATTGTAATTGACTGCAACATATGATCGAATTTGGGTATGAAAACTGGCAATCGCTCCTGACAATACGAATCCGATACCCGAAGTTGATTGGAATGTTTTTGAGATCTTCAACCCGTTTGAAGATATTGTACTTTCCAGGTTAGCTGCTTCGTTGAACTCAAGGAGAGCACCTTGTACCTCTCTTCTTATGAGTGCATTGAGTGCTTGCATAGATGTATTGTACAATTTGCCTATAGAGAATCACAGAGCATACGTATAGATGTAAAAGCGTTTAAAGATGAATCTTAACAAGAAAATAGATTTATTGAAAAAAGAGTGGAACTAGAATGACGGAGAGGACAAAGTGCAAGGTTTAAGGGGCAAAGGTCAAAGTTGACAGGGCAGGGTCACAAGGCAAGGAGCATCGCTTTATGGATAAAGGTTTACGGAAATAGAAAAGCTTTTACCGGTAGAATTCATGTTTGCATTTCTCCTGGCACCAAGGTAATACTCTGGACTCTTGTGAACAGCTGACACCTGCATGATAACAACACTTTGTATTCTAGCAGCAACTGAAGTCAACCCATTTCTCATCTTTGTACTTCAAGTAAATGTTGGACCCATAACGTTGTTTGTGTTATTGTTGTTTATGCTAATACTTGAGGTTGAAATTTGACCCACAAGGGCAATGGTTTCCTATAAGATGTCCTATTGTGGCGAATGCTTTGCCATTTACCATCCACATAGTACGTACTCAGGACAGGGAGGGGGGGGGGGCTCGTCAACTAGCGTATGTTTGCATACAGGGGAAGGAAGGCTGATGGAGTTAAAGTTTGTACGCAAAATACTTTTTAGATGATGTTCTTTAAAAAGAGTTTTGATCACCGATTTAAAGCTACAACCATTGAGTGGGGGTATAGTTCATTGGCGCAACCTGGGCAGACAACAAGGTTCATTATCACAATTATCACCGCCTATTATGGACCTTAGTGTAAATATTTACGTCCCACTTCTGTGTCGCTGGTTTCAGTACAAAAAGGTTCCTTTCTTCAAGTTGGGCCTACCGGATCGTACGGTGTAGTCAAATTGCAAATGCAGTTGGGGGGTCAGCTCAAAAAGTACGTACGCAAGTGAATGACCTCTTTTTCCAAAAAAGTATTTCAGGACCACAAGAACTAACAAAGTGGTTATTTTCCAGATTTTGAAAAAGCAACTCACGTTTGCACCATACAGCAGCGTCTGTTCAGATACTGAAATAACAGTAAGTGCGGTAGATAGCGAGCTCACAAGGATTCCATTGACAACGAGGCCAACAACGGTCCACGTGATAGCAATGCTTCGAGCAATCTCGCCTCGGGGAGAAATATCGCCATACCTGCCGTAGAGAACAGATTAAAAGCACATTAGGTGAAGATAACCAAGAAAGAGCTATGGCCTGCTTAGGAGGTGATTGCAACTCCTTCTCAGTTATAGTAACGATGTAGGAGATGAATCAAGAAAGTCATTAGGCCGCATTATTCGTGGACTAATAGCATGAATAATTAGTTCCTTTCAACATGGAACGCGTTAAAAAGTTTTTGAACAAACAATTTGGCATATATATTATGGAAAACAATCAATGAATTAACATCACATAGACTCACATCACGTGAGACAGAGAAGATGCGAGCCTGGCCACTAGAAGTTCTTGGCGATTTCATGCGATTATCGTACACTGTACTGTTAAGATAGTAGAATGCAAATGATTCCCTTCTCATTATACTGCCAAAAAAGCTCACCCTACAGTTGTCATGGATACAAAAGCCCACCAAAACCCTTGAAATGTTCCATAAAGGAACCGACCAGTTGGCATTTCTTCAGGATTGGCAAATTGATCCTAAAGAAAGAAGAAATTTGGACGTTAAGTTATAATAATAAGCTACAAAAGGTCAAAAAAGTAAAAATACGCTTTGATTGCATAGAGCATTGGATTGTATTGATGAATATCCGAAAGAACTTGAAATTTAAGAATACAATCAGATCGTTATTCGAATGCACGAAAAAAGAATCGAGGACGAAACGATCACAGAACGAGAGCCATAGAGGGACCTTGTGTCCATTCCTAGCTGAAATGAATAGCTGGTTAGAATAAATTTGAATTTCTCGAATTGCTGCAATGAATTTCACGGTGTATGCGATAACAAACTTTGAGATTTGACCTTTGATCTAGCACCTTTTGACCTTTCTAAACCTAGTGACTACAGCAAATGAAATGCTTTCATTATCATCGTTATGACCATAAATTTAAAAAATATTGCCATTGTTGATGTTTGAGTTACACAAAAGTGAGGAGATGCATACCGCCATCCAGATGAGAATGCCAGCCAACACAGTCATCAAAAATGTAACAACCAAGATGGGCCAACATTGTAAAATCGATGCTGTTATTTTGCTTGACTTTGACATCTTGGCCGGATCAACGACGACAAAGGCTGACACAGTGCCGTCTATCAAATTGACATACTGGTACTCTCCCTCAAAAACTGTCACATATTTCTTGCCGCTGACGGGCCCATGAAAGTTGGCATTGTCTGAGATCTATATCGAAAACAAAAGTCCCTATACTAGAAGTTTAATGACAGTGCACTGAAGGTGAATATTAGAAAAACTGGGGAGGGGCGTTTTTGGGGGCCGTTTTTGGGGGGCCGTGAGGGGGTATGCAAAAAAATGCGTTTCAAAAACAAAGAATTTTGTACCATCTAAGGGTACTTTGTCGGTAAATTAAGGCTGGCTCACCCACTTTGTCGGCAAATGGGATCTGGATTTATGGCAAGGTGATGTCTTATATCAGCAAAAGGAATCAAGCGTGTAATATCGAAAAGACTGCATCGAGAAGTTCAACCCCCCGTCGTTCTTGCTGGAAAGCCTGTCTCCATTCGGAATATCAACGAATTCCTGTGGCACAGTATAGCGCCACACAATTTCTTATCACTATTTTTTCCATTCACTCAAAAAGACGCATGAATTTTACGGTATTTTGATGCGCGAATTCCTCAACTATTTGAAAACATGCAATAGTTTTAAACCAATAAAAGTTACCCTTTCTTTGAGATCTTTTTCTGACGTCCGTTTAGATGTCTGTCCGTTTCTCGTTCGATCGAAATGCACGATCGATTTGCTGTACGCTGCACACGTTCCGCATATGGTTGAAATCATGGCTGGAAAAAATTCCGGCAAAATTCCGGCCACGGACTCTGCTTGAACGAAAACGTACGGGTTTTTGACATACCAGGTAGCGTAGAGGTGTTTGTTACAGAGACAGGTTTCTAGAAGAAATAATGTGGTGGAAACTATAAAGAAGAGAATCGTCAGTCTTACACACATTTTAACAATAGGCCTTAAACAGTTTAACACAAACAATTCCACACTTCTATCTCTCACACAGTTTTTAAAGTCAGTTAAAAAACTCTACTTAAATTTATCTCAATTTTGTTCGATTTGTAATTTGGTTATCTCAATCAATATGGTTATAGATTAGTTCCCTTAAGACTGTTTGGTAATCAAATAGTTATTGGGAAACAGATATCTTTTAGTTTCCTGCTGAAGCCATATCTTTCGTCCGCATTCTAATAAACTTGATTAGAATATTCTCCGTTTGTAATACTTTGTACTAATCCAGTTGTGAAGTATGCAAATTTTGCACAGAACAAAAGCTTATTGAGTTTTTGAACGCTCTCTGAAAGCAACAGACGGCGCAATCGACACTGTTAGCTTGACGCATTTCAATTTTTTGCATATCATTTCCACTTACGCTACAAGCTATATCACATTCAGTGTTACCATAGAACAAATATCAATAGCAGCAAAAACTCATTGTATTTGCAGCATAGAAATGTGCTTCTATTCAACTAAATAACCACAGATTCGCCTAGGTTGCCTTATTGACGAAGGTGTTATGTGGTTTATTTCAGGGACCGCGCACCAGTCTAAATGTGGGAGGGCTGAAAAGGGTGTTACCGAAATTTTTTGAGGCCACGCCCTCTAGAACACCGGAAAACGCCCCTTTTAGAAAATACTGGCTTATTTCTACTGTTGTTTCATAAACAATCTGGTTTAGAGAAGATATCCATAGCTATAAAAGTTTATAGAATTAGCTTAGGGATAATAAAACATAAAAAAAACACCTAGAAAACGAACAAAAAGGTTTCCCAGTCAAGAAAACCTGCTACTACTTAGGAGTATACTATTCAATGTTGCGTTAGACAATATTTAGAGTTAACTTTCAAAAACGTTTTCTAACGTATTATCGCAAAGAAAGTGGAGGGGGTATAGCTCCTGATAGCCCAATGGCTGCGCGGTGCCTGGTTTATTTTCACACATTTTTCGGCCACTCGACGGATGGCATTCATGTCTAAACTGCCCAAAAAGATGTCCAAAAGGCAACCAAACAACAAACCTGCAACTGTGTCCGGACTTTTGACTCCATCGCCAGCCGACGTGACACCCTGAATCGTCATCGTCACTTCCCAGTTGGCTTCGAGGCCAGTTACTCGGTACCGTCTTCTATCGCTGCCCAGGCGCACTACCGTTTTTGCCCCGCCTAATACTGCTTGCGAACCTTTTCTGGTCACCGAGTACATCAACTTCAGAGACAAAGGCTTGCCGTTCCAAGAATCAGCGGGGAGATCTTCCCAAAAGAAATCAACGTACGCTTCGGATATTCGTCCTTCTCCTCGTACTTTCAAAGGCGCTGATGAAGGCACTATTAGAAAGGCATCAAAATTTGAAGAAACGCAGTGCCACGAAAAGAAATCTCTGGAGAACTGGGTTAACTGTCATAAGATCGGAATATGAGGAACTGATAAAATATAGAATAAAATCATAAGGCGAAGGAACCTATTTATAGTTTATGTTGAAGATATGGAACAAAAGAAGCATCTTATCCTAAGAAGCATCTTATCTTAAAATATTTGATCTATATTTTATAACTTAGGTCTTAGAGACATCATATCAGTTAAAGTTAAAATTTTACCGCAGCTTATAAAAGTTGTGATTCTGGTTAACTCTCTCCTAGCAAATGCCGCTACATCTAGATAAGAAGTATTTTCTTACAAAAAGCATTATTGAATTTAAATATTTGGTTTTCACTCAGGCCTCTTCACGCTTAGATTCTCTGTTTCATACCCAGCCCTTATTAAATCAAAATTCCTTCGTTCTAACCTAGGGTTACTGTAAATTTTGATGTTCAAACAGACCTCTTTACCCTAACATTATCGGGTTTTTTCCGAGGTCAAATGTTGTGGTTCATATACAAAGCACTTTAAAATGGCTTTGAAAAAAGCAAACATTTACTAAACTAAAGCTTTTGGTCTGAAACACTTCAGAGTTTAAAACGTCAGAACATAGATCGAAAACTCTACGCTAGGAAATATATATACCCAGTTGTGGATCGAAATAGGCCAATCAGAAACTCGAGCACATGACTGTTGAGGTTGACCAATCAGTGCCGCTTGCCTATTGAAAATGTTACCAATGGAGTCCTAAGGTGAAAACGAACTCCTTTTGTCTACACAGTAGCGGCTTTTGTGCTTATATAGATAGATTCTAAAACTGCTAGGTGGAAGGACGATCGGGCTTTACCAGTAATCCGAAACATGTCGCCATTATAGTTTTTTGCACAATCTGGGTTTTTCAGTTAATGTTGCCCGATAGCGGAATCGCAGGTTTTAGTTGTAATTTTAGATTTGCAAGACCGAGGTGGCTGTTTTTAAAGCCATTTTCAAGTTTTGTACCACCAAAAGATTCTTTACAAAGCACTTTATATTTAAACATGTTGGCTTTACCAATGCCTCTTTCCACTAGGCTTTCCACTGGTTGTATCCTAAAAAGCACCACTTACCATCTTCGTCGGTCTGCAAAGTCTTCCACTGGAATGGGCCTTCTCCTGCTTTTGTTGCCGCGCTAATCTTCAGCTCGTACCTTGTATAAGGCTTTAAATCTTTAATATCAGCATATGTTGTAGTAGATGGAATCTTCAAAGTTGTCCAAGCTTTCCCACTTTCGATTAAATTGCCTGGCTTATTGTACACTCGATAAAGAACTGTGTAATGTGTGACGAGGCCATTCTGAGACGCGTATGGAACTGCAGTCCATTCACAGTATATACTTTTGGCAGATGTTACTTTGCACTGAATGTTGTTTGGCGGACTGGAGGGTGCTATTAAAGAAAAAAAGGCACACAAATAAAACTTGTATCAGGCTCATACAAAACATTTTACACCACCATCACAGGTATATCAAGACACCGCTATCTGCAATCCAATAAACAGTAGCTTAATTAGGCACGTAAATGTATGGTGGGGGGGGGGGATGGGGTGTGGGGTGCCTCTCAATGCAGAAAAGAAATGTTAAAGTCGTAAAATGTTAAGGCTCTGTAAGACCAAGCTAAGCACTATTTTATCAAAAAAACAGTTGGCTTATTTTTAGTCCAAAATTTCGCACCCTTCACCTCCCCAAAAATATACGTCAATCTACGTCCCTGCGTCTAATCCGAGTCATCATGTCAGATATCATTGCTACAAATGACATCAGAATCCTGAACATCACCACACCAAAAACCACGATGGCGAAACATCTTTGTATTGCCATGCTGATGTTTAAAGAGCACACTATGCGGTATGGCTATTCTTATTGATCATTGCTGGTCTTTGGTATTGTCTAATGCATGCAGTGCTTTACTGTTTAGATCACGAAATTTAAAGTTGAATCGTTGAAGAAGGTGACTGCCTCAGTAGAAACAGCCATATGGTTATAGCAGTACAGGTTGCACGCAGGTTGCACGCAGGTTGCACGCAGGTTGCACGCAGGTTGCACGTAGAATGCATACAGACTAATGCTTTGAAGATACTCACCACCCTCCATTGTACTAACATCAGTTAGGCTGCTGGGGATACCAAGTGCATCAATTGTTACTGCAGTCACCCTTATCGTGTAGAGGGTGAACGGTTCTAGGCGAGTCAAATTTGCCTGCGTGGTCGTGTTGGTGACAACAAGCGATTTCCAAGCAGATTCGCTTGTCTCCCTGGTCTTTCGATACGTGATACTGTAACCAGTGATTGAAAATGATGTGATTGTCTCACTGAAATCAGACAGCTCGATGAAAATCACTGACTCACTGATTGCAGTGCAGTTGACAGTTCCTGGCGGCTTTGGAACTAAAATATAATCAGTAAGAAATCACTGCAATGAACAATGATTGAAATGATCATGATAGAATGAATAAGTAGCGAAATCAGTGTTTTAACTGTTTGTATCGATACAGGTTTCAGCTCTGCGATCTAAACATAAGGGGCAACACAAGTGAGGCGGGGGCAAATGGGTTAAGTGTCATGAGCAGGGACCAAAGTCAATAGTCACGCAAGATCAGAAAGCTAGAGTCACGTATTGAACATGTAAAGATATCAATGCCATCAAGGCTTAGAAGCGAAACGAGAAAAGACTCACTTTGGTCAGTTTTGATCTGAAACTCCGAAAGAGGCATTGTGGTTAGAATTCTGTTCTCCTGTAATGACGTAAGCAGCGTCACAAGTTCAAGACGGGTTATTTCAGTGTAGTTGATTGTGAAGTTTGCAATTACGCTCCCGGGCCTAAAAATCGAATTGCAAAATTTTATAGAAAGCCACCTCTTTTACAAAGTTTCTCATTTCAAGGCAATGACTTGATGGCAGGAAAATGCGAACAAAAATTCAAGAAGACACTTTCTAGAGTATAAAATATCAAATGCTGCGAACGGTGATATCTGTATGCAGTTAAAGGAAGAGAGAAAAAGTGAATAAGAAGAAGAATGACACGTCTGATTGGTTAATTGTGGCAATCGGTGACCTCTTGCCATCTTCACATGTAAACAAAGAATCCACGAAAGAAAGCGAAAATTTTTTTTCAACACGATCAGGTCTTTTCGTTTTTATGCCGAGAAATTTCAAATGTGAAACATTGTAGAGCAACATTTATTTGAAAACCAGAGGGCAACTAAACATAGCGACAGCCATTCGTGTGTCATCAAAGACTAGAAAAATTTATTTCTTAAACTCTTTGAATAAGGTTATGAATTTATTATGAACATAAAAACAATGATCAATGGAAAGAAATCACGTGTCATTAGGACAAAAATGTTTTTGCTGGGGAAAAAATTTGTTAGGGCAAATTTGTGAAATCTGCTGCTATTTGACAAACTAACCTTTCAAGATAGGTCATTACAGATTTTAAATGAAACAAAAATAGAGATCATGCGTTGAATAAATGTGTGCACAGTTTCAACAAATAGGCTGAGGCCAAGAAAGTATCATGTATCAGTAATGTTGACACAGTAGCCTGAAAAGTAGGCTCAGCTGTTGCAAAGTTTATCGGCAATAATCATTTTTATATGGTTTTATTGTAAACGTAAGAAAGTTACCACACTCATAACAGAGCAAACTTTGGCCGACTACTTCGGCCGACCACCTAAGCCGACCAGCTAGGCCGACCACTTAGGCCGACCACCTAGGCCAACCACTTCGACCGAGCAGCTAGGCCGACCACCTAGGCCGTTTAAGGGACCGCAAACAGGAATCTAAGTGGAGCAATTCTCTTTTATGTAAACGAGGTCTTTAGAAATCATAGCAAAAAACTTTAGAATCATAAAAAAGGATTTGCTGACCTGAAAAAGTGAACTTCAACATCAAGCACGTGGTTCTCATTCTCCGGATAAAGCTTGTTTACCTGCAAAAAAGTTAATGAGAGATTTCAAATCAAGTTAACAAATACGCGAACAGCAAAAGGATAAATGTCAAAATTATGCATAATTGGTACAGATGTTACCTGGGTTAGAACTTGGTGTAGAAATGTTTCTCGATTTTAAGCTTCCCAATATTTGATACAAAGCAACAAGGGTTAGCGACGCGTTATCAGATTTAAATTGTGGCACCATGCCAACTCTTATCAGAAAATAACGCTAGATTTACAAAAATTATTCTTAATTTCAAATCAAAGCTATCCTGTCTGAAATAAGGCTAGCGCATGCGCAGAATAGAATGACCAGTATGTTTGTTGAATATAATATTATACTGACAAAACCAACGCAATTAAATAATGATAAAATATATAAATATATTTATATGTAGTTATGTTTATGTAAAATATATGTAGACCATATATGTAGATTTATTGAAATCATCATTGCCAACTTAGAAAGTAACCAATTAAGTATTTTTAAATATTGACGTCATTGTTAACCTTTTGGCCTAAGTAAATAGCCACACGTGCGGATGTAACGTATTTGCATTCAGTTACGCTATACAGCGGACTACTAATCAATGAAAAAAATGTTTTTTTTTTCAAAAAATATGAAAATTATGCCAAAATTATGCTAAATGACGACTTTTGGCCAAAATCATGCTAAAAGCATAATATTATGCTAGCTCTTGTCACACTTGATTAACGTCCAAGTTTAAACAGCCAACTTTGATTTCAACCCGGAGAATTCTTGATAGGAGCTATGAAGAACAGTCCAGGCAAAAGGATTTCAGTAATCACAAAAATAACACAAATCATTTCAGCTCTTTTTTGAAAGATTTCAAAACTTCTGTTCATGAACAAGAGTGATCACATATCTTGACTCTAGGCTACTACTCTAGACTATGAATAATAAAAAAATGTTGATCTGCTGTCTTAAAGCTTCCAGGCATACTTTTGAAACGACGATTGCTGGAGTCCAGTTGCCCGTTTACATAGCTGTATCATACGTATTGAGATGTTGATGTCAGGTTAGAAATTCATTTAATAAAGTCTTCTCGTTTCAGTATCACACATCTGTTCAAATATTTATGACATAAATATGCAGTTGATCTGGTTCTTTACATTTGCAAGTTTTGAATTAGAAAAAGTAAAGAGCAAAGGATTATGAATGAAGTACTTACATTGTCGGCTATCTTTCTTTGCAGCTGACCATAGGCAGGTGTAGATTTATTCCGAAGATCTTCAGTGAATGTTTCGTTAGTAAACTTGATCATAACCCCTAAACTGACAGCTGGTGGGAAGAATAGCACGTGGATTAGAATGATAAGGGTGAGCTAAATGCATAGTCAAAACAGAGATATAATAGACGCAGTCCGACAAACGAGACAAGGATGAAGAATAACACAGGCACCGCGGAGCAGAGTAATAAACCAACAATAAACCTCTTTTTACACGGGTCTAGCCCCCCTTCATTTTTTTAGACCCACCATTTTTCTGAACGCTCCGCGGTGCCTGTTAACAGTAAATTAGAAAAGGGAAGATTACGAGGCACTTAATACGAACTGTGAAACAAATAGGTTTGATCCAGTCGCTTGGTAATGAACACGTTTATCGGTAGGCAAACAGCTACAATGCCTGCCAAAAATTATGGAACACTGACATAAATTTTGAATGTCAAAGTCAACTATCCCCCCGCCCCTCTCCAAAGGCGCAATGTTTGTTTACCATAGAAAAGCGTAAAAGGTTTTGAATTTTCTGCTTTTGAGTTACTTGTACGATATTGGTTTACACAATCAACATTGTTTAAGGAGGGGAGGGGGGTAGGGTTGGTTTACACAATCAACATTGTTTCAGGAGAGGGGAAGGGATTTGAAGTGGCGATATTTTCTGGATCCAAAATAAAAGATACATGATACAACGCAAACTTGTGGGTGTTTCAAGTCTTTTTGGTAGGTATTGTATAAACAAACAAAGGATAGAAGCAAATAAGTTTGATCCTCGTCGCTTGTCATTTAAAACGTGTATTGATAGACAAACAACTATAAACAAACAAAGAGAAGTTTTACACAGCAGACTTTATATCTCACGTTTGCATGGATGTGAATTGCAAGCTCTCTCTCTTTTCCGTTCCCCGATGCAGTATGTGCCGTTGTACTGTGGCTTTGGATTGTCACAAAACCTGATCTTCTCCTCTGTCCCATTGTTGCATGGTCTGTTACAAAGTGACCATCTCCCCCACTCACCCCACATTCCGTGAACTAAATGAAAATAGAAAAAAAATTATTTTTCATATATGTTATTCATTTTAGATAAATCTAAACAAATCAAGTCTTGAAATTTTATTGGCTTAGTTCACAAAATTGTCCTAGTCTCTTTAACTGATGATAGCTATTTCGGTTAAAATCTGATCAAATTGGACAGAAAGAATGACAAGTGAGGAAGTATAACGAAGGATTGGAGAGAACAGAACATTAATCTCAATCATGTATAACCGGCAGAAGAAGTGGATTGGTCACATTATGAGACACCAGAGACTACTATGGGATTTCATCGAAGGAAAGATAAACGGCAAAAGGAGCAGAGGAAGGAAGGGAATGACATTGTTCGATCATTGGTGTAAGAAAGAAAATGGCAGAACTGAAACATATGAAGAAATCAAGCGTAGAGCTGAAGATCGTGATGGTTGGCGCGTGTGGCGCTGAACCTGCCTCGCGGCAGACAACCAAGAGGTAGAAGAAGGAGCTACATCAGAATTCAAAGCAATGCAAATTTCTAGAATCAATATTTCATGCTTCTATTCATACTTTTATTTATCAAACAGATACGATTCATCTTCACATTACTCAGTTTATAGGTTGGCTATTTTCTCTGAGCAAAAATAATCACTTTGGTTGGAAAAAAATGTTGCTTTATAAAGCTGAATTCACACTGGACGCGTCACGGCGCGGCGCGTCATGACGCTGACCAAATATGGTTAGCATTTTCGGCAGCTATGCGCACGCAGCGCGTTTTTTCAGCCACGCGTCACCGAGCGTCAAAGTTAAATAAATTTAACTTTGACGCTCGGTGACGCTTCAGAACAATAGAAAACCTAGAGAATAAACGAGGAGCCAGACGACATGACAGCCAGAAACGTAAACAAGGAGCTTCTGAAATAGGCCATTATAAAACTGTATTGCTTGTACGGTGAAGTATATTTTGATGAGTCTCTCTGATGAAAGCATCGGGGGGCTAAATTCTGAAAGTAACAAAAACAAATCACATTTATTAGTTTGTGATAAGTAACAGTATTATTCGTGTTTAGTGTCTTTGTCTATAAAGTTGCCTCGTTGATGTTCAATTCAACAATGATGTTGAGTCATTGTATGTTCCGTTTTGGTAAAAAAATATTTCAATCACTCTCCGTTTAGCTTTCAATACCTCCCAAAGGTGTACTTCCGAGGAATTTAATTCATGGAAATTTTGGGGAGTGTTGATAAAAATAAGCTGTTTAATTTTCCCTCGAATTTTGGCAGGAAGGGAAACCCCATGAATCTGTAAAGCCAAACATTTTGCTAATTGTAGTAGACCTTCCAAATCTTTAATATCAATAAAAATTTCGGTTCTATAATGAATGCTTGAAGAGAATCGTCTTTCTGTCAAAACATTGGCCAACCTCTCGAACCGAAATGTTAAAGAAACCGCACGAGACTTAGAATACCTCATTTTTTGGCCAAGATGCTGTTTTTGATATACCGTTTCATCCGTTTCTGTAGCAAACTTAAATGTCCAGCTTGACTTTGCAATGCAAGGAATACAGTACAACTTGTCAAGAATTTTGCAAGTTTGCTGTGAACAGCATGGGAAAACAGAAAACACGCCGCTCGATGACGCATCGTGTGTGAATAGCATGAAGAAGTACATGACGCGACGCTCGATGACGCTCAGTGACGCGCCGCGCCGTGACGCGTCCAGTGTGAATTCAGCTTTAGGCAGAAATATTTTCATAGTTAGTAAAAACTGTTTTAAATGATCTCTTTCAGAAAAAGAAAGAAAAGGTTGTATCGAATTCGAGGGCAATTACCAGACTTTGAGAGCAGCTGATTTGACACATTTGATTTTGTCCTTGGTGGTTTTGCATGTTAACTAAAAGCTTATTAAAAGTCGTTCTGAAAGAACTTCCAGTTTATAGGCGATCAACAAACACTAAAGTAGCTTCAGCCTGGCGGGTCCACTTTCGTTGTCAAGTGTTAGCACCCGTGTCTTAAATATCTTCGAGAAAGGGGTACAATTTTGTCATATATCTAGGATAAAGAAAATAGAAACAAGGATGCATGATATGGGAATCCTAATAAAGTTTCTAATTTTCCTTTGTTTGCCTTGTTTCAACTACCTGATTTCAGGAAATAGGGTATAAATTTTTCTTTGGCTTCAAAGAAAAGGGGGAATCAAATTGGAATCAAATATCAGAGATAAGGGTCAGATTTCTAGACCCCAAGACACGGGTGCTTACACTTGATAGTGTGAGATGACCCACCGGGAGCTTCAGCCATTTGTCGAACAACTACTGGCCAATCAACAAACGTGCAAGTATTCTGCTTAATGATTGGTTAATTTTGATTGACAGATGTCAAATATAGATTGACAGATCTCTGTTGACTGCCTTCAAAGTGGCGTTACTAATGATGCTTTTGACATTTGGCTTTCTCGGAGGCAATGAATAAGTTTAAATTTGGTTCGGAATACAGAATGAGTGGTATGACATTTTTGACAACTTATTCATGTAGAATAGTTTTGACAGTTATGGAAATTCAATTTCAACATTCGGAAGGAATCATACCTGGACAAATCTGAAAACTGCAACCCTCAGAGGCAAAACGTTTCCCATCGCAGTCCATTCCACCGTAGCGAGGTTCGGGGTTTGTGCAGTAACGGTAGCGAAACCTCATTCCTCCTCCGCAGGTTACGTTGCATTGCGACCAGTCAGTGAATTCAGTCCAGCCACCATTGACTTAAAAAAAGAAAAACAGTGTATCAAACATATTACAAACATTGTATCTAAAAACGTCACAACACATATCTATGCTAATAATAAACAATTTGTATTTACAATTTATGATAAAATATTGCAATACATTACAAGAGATTATAAGTCAAATGAAATTTAATCTAGAAGAAATGTCTTACACAGTCAACAGTCACATTCAAGTTTATGGGGGCTTAATTACGTTTTTAGGTCTATGATTGGGAATCTCACATAATGTCAGGTTATGTTGACCACCGCTAGATTACAATAATAAACTGGGTTGGATAACTTAATAGGTTTGAGGTACGGGGATCATCATTTGTGCCATCATTTAGGGGCACCTTATTTGTGAAAAGTGCAGAATTATTGGTAACAGTTTTTGAAATATGTGCGGGTTTATGGGTACCAGAATTTACGGTAAATATTAAAGACCGTGAAACTTACCTGGACAGTGCTTGGTGAAACAAGACGTTGTGTCAATATTTTGACCAAGACATTGCTTCTTACAGGTTCTGTATCTTGATTTTGTGCCAACACCACAGGTTGCTGTACATTCTCCCCAATTTGACCAGGCGCTGTACCCTATGTCACCTATGGGCACAACAGAATCCTGTTAAGTTGTGCATACGACAAAGTTGTGCATGTTGTGGAACATAACGTTTGCGACATGGTCTTATCATATAGGTATCTAAATATCAGACGTTCACAATGGTAAAATGAAAGGGGGTTTTAGAAAGAAAGTTATTCTGTCCAGTCAGAAGAAAAGAGACCTGTAAGAAGCAAATGGAAAGTGTTGGTACTTCTTAAAAGAGCCATTTCACTTATAGCACTTAACACTGTGCAACAAATGTACATCAAACAGAGAAATAGGCCGTTACAATATATTTTGATATAGTAAAATATGGTTTATACAGCAGACAACTTTTAACTGTGAAGAAATATAGAGCAAAGAGATCAGAGACAAGGCAGAAGCTTTGATATGAAAATCACTATGTCTCATGGGTGTTTGGGACTCATTAAAAATAGGCCCTGTCGCATGCGTGGAATATCAGAATCAGGCAACAAGGACGCAGAAATTACGCATTCACTGTTATGAATCTGCAAAAAAGGGCCAGACGACAGCTCATCGAGCTTTCAGTTCCTTCTCTCAAGACAGTAGGACATATTGCCTTCAAAACTGAATCACCAAAAAGCTATCTCAGGAAAAATCATACTTCAAGTATACAGTTGGCCTAATTGAAAGTTGGCCTAATTGAAAGTTGGCCTAATTGAAAGATCACGAGAAGATGAAACGTACTTTCGTTCTGACAGTTGCACATTCTAGAGACGCCAGAAGGAATATCTTTTATGTCTTCACACGTCAGCTGACTAGGAACCTGTTTAAAACCCTGGCATTTTTGACCAGTCTTTACGTAACTCGGATCATAATCTCTTTTCCATACAGCATTGTTGATATCATTACACTCTAGGCCTCGGGCAGTAAAGATGTCTGTTCTGTTGTTTGTTTCGAAGAAAGGATAGCAAGTAAGCTGTTTCCATCGACAGGTATCATTGCACTGAATGCCAGGACTGGATAGATAGACTCCTAGTTGGAAGATGAAAGTCACAATTAATTATTGGAAGTATTCTGAAGAAGAATCTATGTTACCGATGCAGCAAAAACTTCAAACGCTTTCGCAAGGGTTCTTGTTGCAAACTAGGGCAATAACGCTGTACCAACTGTAAGGATAGAAATTTTCGGAATTTCTATCGATTGGATACTCCACTTTTAGTATAAATTAAACTGTCTAAGGAATTGGACAAATGAGAGGAAGATGGGGTGATGCTAGTGAAGAGGATATTATCAAGCTTATGACCGTGAGCCAGGCCATCAGAAAAAAGATAATTTAACATACCACACCTATACAAACCACATAATGTCTCTATTGTTGTTTTGAGGATAGCTTTAGCTATTTGGTCTTAGAAAATACTTTTATTTGTTGGCTTTTCAGTTCCAAACACGTTTAGTTACGCTAAAAGAAGCTAAGCAGCGAATAGGTTAGCATGATGTTGATAAAAATTGTTTATCCAACCTGAACAATGAAATGTGTTGCAGGGTCGAGTTTCATTGTCCCCTGCTATGGTCCAATTGCAGTCGTTCCCGCCATGTGAAGGTGCAGGGTTGGTGCACGATCTGTATCTTGTAGTGGTACCATTACCACAGCTTTTGCTGCAAGCAGAGAAGGTTCCCCAGTCGGTCCATCCTCCATGAACTACAACAGATGATGTGATAATGAAGTGGGGTGAAGAACTCCTAAAAATTTCGTACAATATAAAATCGTATCAAGAATATTAAAGCTAAAATAATAAAATACATAAATGTGCCAAGTACCAACCTTTACAAGGGACAGTATTGCACATCTTAGACTCTAATGAGTGCCCAAAACACAATGCCTGATCATTGCATGTTCTGCTTCGTCTTGTAAATCCAAAATTGCATTCACTTGAGCAAGGAGACCAAGGTGTCCAAGATGTAAATCCAAGGTCATCTGATAAGAAAATTACTCGTGGTAATGCAATGCTGACAAAGTAGCATTAACAATTAGAATGAATAGCAAGTTAGTATATTGCTGCCGATGGGTGAAGAGTATGTGAGCGTCTAATGAACAGTATGCAAAAAGATGTGGATGGAACAACATGAAGAAATCAATAAAATCAGAATTTGGAAAATTATCTCATAGAAAGACATAAACAGTTTAAACGAAGAATGCATCAAAACTCCTGGTTTTCTATTCTGATTCCTTTTAGGAATACAATTTCTTCACATTGAAAGCCTTGCCTATTCATCTAATGCTATAAGAAATAAAATAATATTGACTTCTTAAGTTTCAACTTTTTTTAAAGAGTATCTATATATTTTGATTCCATTGCCAATAAAATTTGTTGACCATTTGATGCATAAATATATTTCATATCTTTGAAATAAAACCAGACTTTTCTATCTGAAAAGCCCAGAATTTCAACAAACTATGAAACACGGCACATTCAATTCATTGATTTATCGATCGCCTTTTAGTTCAACAACACTGGAAACCGCAAGTGCTTATAGTGCTGACTAACCTGGGCACGTGGGTAAGTTGCAAGTGGTATTCTGTGTCAAAGCATTCTCGTTGCACTTCGATGTGTTTGTTATAACGCAGCGTCTTTGCCTTTCCTTATAGGCACTGCCACAGGCCTTAGAGCAAGTGCTCCACGCCGACCACTCACTGTATACTAAATCCTCTGCAAAGTAAAGAAAAAATATAGAGAAACATCAAGTGAAACTAAGCTTGTGGGAGTAAGTGACGCATACACTACGGTACAAAGTCGTTGTTCTTTGTTACTTGTGACAAACCGACTGTTACTAGGGGCAGAACATGGCTAAACATATGTTCAAAATTAACCCTTGAACTGAACAAAAAATTGGAAAAAAGTCAGGGACAAACTTTTTGACGTTCACAAGTGACTAGGGTTTTTGCGTGGTAGGGCGTGGCACTGACGTCAAATTAACGTATAAAGAAGAAAAAAGATGGGACATGTTTGCAAAGCTGTCACAATGGAACTAAAAGAGATGCAGAGGAACCAATTTGCTTGTGCCGCAAGGGTCACTAAGGTGGATATTAACGCATCTTGTCTCGTCAAACGAGGCCACGTCCTATCGAAAAATTCCTCCAAGCACCTCCTTGGTCTTTTCCGCAACTCTGGTTTCACTTTTCAGAAACATGAAAAAACTATGATCTAAGAAATATTTTCTAGTTCTCTTGCTATCAAAGAAACATCGTGCTAGATAAGTTTTTCAAAACCTCTTCCAATTCATATCAAAATGAGTTTTGGCTAATAGAAAAATGTGCTCTTAGTTATTATTTATGTAGGTAGTGTGCACCAAGCATCGATAATCGTACTGATTAATGGTAGTCTACAGGCTTCTTTTGAGTGACCATAATTATCTAAATTTCGATTGCTTGTGTAGACTATGTAAAAATATGTTTTACGTTAGTCTTCACTGCAAAAATCATCAAAATCTTCACAAACCTGCAAAAATGCAGTGACAAAGCCTATTTATTGTGCTATTCAGATTTTCATGGCTTTCACATACACTACTGCCAACATCCGTGAAGCCTAAACATAATTTCTTTTCGTTGGAGTACGCTGGGTGCCAGCTGTACTTCCACGGCTGCAAAGGCGTCGTTGTCGTTTGACACGTGATTCCGACGGTGGCAAAATGTTTTCTGTAGTCTCTGTGATCATCGTCGTTGTTGTTGTACCAGTAGCAGACAAGGCCTTTTTCACGACACGCAGCCGTGCAGTTCTGCCCAGGCCGGCCAAGAATAAAGCCTGCAATATGAAATGGTTTGTAAAACAGAAAAATGAAATGCTGCTAGAAATTCAACTGATAAATAGAAGAAAAAAGCGCCATTATGTAAGGTAACATGCAATGGCGGCGCCAAGGGGTGGTATGGGGGGATAATTACCTCTCCACTTTTGTCGAAACATGGTCTACATATTTCGTCTAAAAATGGATAAAAAAGCACTAGGTAGGGGTAGATCATATTTCCTAAGGAAATTTGACCTTATACAAATCACTGGAACGAGGCCAATAGGGCGTGGTCTCACGGGTAACACCCATTACCCTCCCACTCTGCAGCAGCTGGCACCGCCACTGGTAACATGTTGAAGAAGATTCCTATGTAAGAACGATTAGATAAACACACCAAAATAGCTTGTAAGGTTAAAATAAAAGGTTTTATTAAAATGTGATTCGCAACGGGATAGAAGAACAATTCTGTATTCATTTCTATGAAAAATAGACATGAGACATAAAGGAAAGCAAGAAGTATGTTACGAGCTTCTTATCTTGGTAGGCTGAAGTTGTAGCATGTCAAAAATTGTTCATGTTTCTTAATTATGAGAACAGGTAAACGAGAGGCTTAAGTTTCATTCCAAGGAAAGCTTCTAGTAAGATTCCTTTGTGGTGCATATTACGCTCATATTGAAAGTCGCCCTTGTTACGCAGATGTAATCTGGAGCAGCTGTCCAACGATAAGCTCCCTAAAGATTCTAGTCTAATCTAATCTAAATATTTATAGTACAGTCCAAATAATGGATATTGCGTACTAGCGGTTAGTAGGTTAGTCTTAATAATAGAAAAGCTATAAAATTAGAAAATAAACTGGTCAGCACTGCCGGATTGGTAAGCGTTTATACACTGAAAGGCCTAGTCGAAAATCGAAAGTGCCGGATCGTAAGATCACTGCTCCAGCGATTGGCTTAATGTCAATAATTTTACTACGTTTGATCAGTCAGTTACGGCCTACAAGGTTTTGAATGAACTTAGCCCTACAAGCCTTTGGAAGAAATCTCAGCTATACAACTCACGCTTAACAAACTCAAGCAATGCAACAACAACCTGCCAAAATCCCAAGACTAACTACAGAGCATGCAAAAAAGGACTTCAAGTTTTCAGCTCTAAAAATATGGAATGATACGTCTGCAAATATACGACATGACGCCACATTCGGTTGCTTTACCAAAAATATGAAAGAAAATCTATTAACAGCCTCTACTGTTAATGCGGAGGAAGACGGAGGGGAGGAGGATCTCCCCAGCGCAAATCATTGCGTTCTTTCCTCCTCTTACCTCCTCCCCTGCATCTAACAATAGAGGCTGCACGCAGGCTAAAATCTACTGGCTGATCGAAAACTTTAACTTCAAAATACAACCCAATGGAAGAACAGGATAACTAACAATCTTGCCTTCGATTTTTCTATTGACTTGTATATCGATTTTTTATAGGTATCAAAAGATGCTGAAGGGTTTAAATCCGTGCACGTAATTTATTCATACCATATCCTACTTTAATTCAATAGTAAGAAAATGGGTCTCACGACCGCTATTACACGTTGCACTGAAATCCCTTTTTAATTAAACAAAATACGACAGGAAAGTACCTGGGCAGGGTCTGCGACTGCAGTTCTCGTATTTGACTGCCTCTCCAGGGCATTCACTGTCTGCAACTTGCATATTTTTCTCATTGAAGCAAGATCTTCTATACTCCTCCAAACCAATGCCACATGTTTTGCTGCACGCAGATGGAAGAGACCAATTGCTCCAATATGTGTCTGTAAGAAGATACAAAAATATGAACAATTTTTTTGGGGTACGGAATTTAAAAATGGCTTTGAAAAAAGCAAACATTTTACAACATGCTAAAAGCTTTTTCGTCTGACACTCCTCAGAGCATAAAACGTCAGAATCCACAACTGGGTACATATTTTTCATCGTGTTCTTTCGGACCCTGATTCTGACGTTTTATGCTCTGAGGAGTGTCAGAAGAAAAAGCTTTTAGTGTGTTGTTAAATGTTTGCTTTTTTCAAAGCCATATACAAAAATATTTTTGATTGGAATGAAACATGGTTCAGAAACATGAAATGTAAAAATTGCAGACAAGATCTAGAAAGATATTAACAAAAGGTGTACGGGACTTCCATTGAGTGATTTGTCCCTTGGCGAACACCTCACATGGGGAAGGCAAGACGACTTAATAGAATGAAAGTAAAACCTGTATCATCAAATCAAGAGGTGACTTACCCTTTGGCCGACTACACCGACTTCACTTCAAACCGACTTCACATTAGACAGACTTCACTTCAAGTTTTTGCTATACCATTTCATATTTTTGGTTTAAGATTTTGAATCGCTCTTATACTGGATTAGCTTATTTTGGAATGCGCTCGATCTGGGTCGATCCGAGGATAACATTAACACAAACAACGAAAACCTGGGTTAAAACCTAGGTTGGATTGATAATATCAAGGGGGTGCGGGGGGGTGGTGGGTAATCAGCATGTTCAACAAATTATAGATTTCACTGATGTTTATTGCGGTATAAAACAAGTGAATATCTTCCGATGGTGGAAATATGAGCCTGGCAGAAATCATTAATAAGAAATAAAATAAAACAGGCATTTACATGACAAGCTAGGTCTTGAAAAAAAAGCAGACGCTAGAATGTTTGTAGGCACCAGCAATTTGCAGTAATGACAAAAAGTATTTGCCTTAGCAAAAACCTTTAGGCAGGTCTGATAATAACTAGCAATTTGACGAGAAGCTTCTAGATCAATCTAGACCAATAACAGCCATAAAGACTCTATATATTATTTGGTCTTAACAATTACCTGGCGGACAGTAATCCATAGTGCAGTTTCTGTACTCTTCCACGTCCGCGACAGTGCATTTTGTTCCTCCGTACAAGCCGTCTATACACTCTCTTTCGTATTTCTGTTCCTGCACCTTACAAGTTCCTTTCTTTTGGCACTTTCCAGATTTGAACCATTCACCCAACGTTTTGTTGATTGGAACTATGTTTGAAAGAATAAATTATTGAATTTTTTTTCCGCAGAGAGGTTGTCGAAAAACTAGTTCGAGATTACCTACATTAGCATTTTAAGAGATAAATATTATTTCAGTGAAGAAGACTTTGTAATTCTCAGGGAGCTACATGGAAAAATTCCCATTTAAAAAAATATTTGTATAAGAAAATGAATGAAAGAAATGCGGGTGAAAGGTTGCGTAGAAAGCTAATTTGGTGACTGGAAACAAACCAGAGTATTTTAAAAGCTGAAACTCACGACAAATTCCTTGTTTTCGGTTGCCTCTGTCAAGAGGACAAGTCCAATTGCCCCCTTTGAGGTCACATTGGTACTTATACACTGCTTCATTGCCGATGTCGGTATAAACAGGAACACCAAAGGCACAACAGTGTACCTCATTATTCAGAGTTGCATTTGTGCAATTCCTTCGGTCTGCGGATAAATTTGCAACAAAAGAAAGAAAGTTAGAAAATGGAACAGGCTAAAATTTTAGTGTATTTATGGAAGTCAATTACCTATCGATTGAAAGTTATTCGAAAAAGTCACAGCTATTCGATCAGTCACGGTTATTCTTACAATCATTGTGACCTCCAACAGTGAGGTTATTCGCACTCATCGTCCCCAACCGAATAATCGTGCTATTCGAACTAGTCGCTTGTAACCGAATATTCGCTTTGGGCTTCAGCTAACCGTATAGTTCAACAGGTAACCGAATACCGATTATTCGACCTTCGGTGGACAGGCCTAATTGAAACAGCTTCTAAACCCCTCTGTTTCAAAACGTCTGGGGCTCACTGTTTTAATTTTCCATCATTGAGTTTCCCGCGCCTATTTCTCACGTTTTTGGTCCCATCCCATCCCAATTATCAAGGTCTCTCTCACTTAATCTGTGTAGAAATCCCACTCCCTGCGATAAACAGCTAGACGACTGGTCTGCATTTAAACTAATGTACATTATTCCCACAGCGGATTCGCCTGAAAACAGCAATGTGGAAAAACCTGAAATATAAAGACGTACCGTAACAAGGGTGTTCGTTGCAAAGCTCTGTTCCGTTATTTTCCCCAATGCATACTCCGAAGTACTTTGGAAGGGGATTAGTACAATTTCTAATGCGATGCCTACTGCCTGTAAAACATCTATCTGAACAATTAGACCATGCTCCCCATTCCGTGAAGTTTCCATTAATCGGCTCTGTGGACGAAAAACGTTTTGCGTTAACATAATTCCAATGCCCCCATTTCTTTGGCAATTCTCCCAAAACAGTTTTCGTCATCAGCTAAATACCATGTTTAGGCATTAAATAAATACTGTTGTCAGGCAAAATAGTTGCAACCAAAATACGCAAAAAAGAATAAGAAAGTTGGGTTTAAGATCCAACATTCAGTTTCCTGGACCATATATTTTCACGAAATCATTAATATGTCAGAACAAATAAACAGCATATTCTAAACAATCACGAAAAAAGAGCAGTCACAACCAACTGTGAAAGACAAAAGTCGTCCTTTCTCGCACTTGGCATTTTTAGATCGACCAAAAAATAAGGCCTAATCGAGATATTTCTTTTATATTTGATGCTCATGATAAATAATTGTCTATAATTATTTGATTTATTGTAAGTTCTTTTTAGTCGTTTTTCATTTCAAAGCCTTAACGATAAACTGAATATCTAAATCAAAATTTTTGTTTAAAGCAAAGTCATGTGGATGTTGTCTCGATCGAGGGTCGATGTGGTCTATATGAAACTGCGAAGCATAAAAACTGACATGAATCAGCAACTAAACCCGCTTTCTTAGCAGTTCTCAGTGGTAAACAAATTTTTCTGGTTTCTCCTTTTTCTTTTTCGTTTCATCATTTGCCAGACAGGAAATATTGAGAACACACGGTGAAAGCGGCGAAATTCTGGAGATGTTTAATGTTGGCTGGATAGAAATTCGTGCACAGAACTTCATTCTATCTTATCTTAACGCTATATATTGTTTCTAAGTATTTTTAGAAAGACAAATTTTTGAAGCAATGTTTTATATTAAACCTAAAGAGTTTTGTTTAATAGCATCTAAACTCAACGTTAAAAATAGGCATGTTATGTACAACTGTGTCTTAATGTTTAAATGTCCCAATGTTTACGTACCGCATTTCCCAAAATTGAGTCCATAACGGTCAAGAGGGCACTGGAACTCTGTCGCATTGAGAAGGCATTCGCTAAAATAATACCCATTGTGCATTGTCATATTCAACATACAACATGTTGTCTGTCCTGATGCATTGATTGCTTTTGTGCAATTCTCAGATGCCAAATCTAAAACGAGTGTTCAGTAGCAATGTAGTATGAAATGCTTATGTTGAATCTTAAGCATGAAAACATAGATTCGCATGACAATCGAAGATTAAAATGGCTGATGATAATGATAGTTGATAATAATGATTGAGTGTGTTGATGTTGACTGAGTTTCATCAAGAAAAAACAAACAAAATAATGTTTTCTACGGCAAATATCTTAATAACGCATCAATGGACTTTATCCTAAAGATTTTTACAGCTGATCAAAATATTCAAACATTTCCCAAGATTTGCATCCCCCCACAAAACATTATGGCATTCGACAGTATCCCCAAAACGATATACCATTGTTGCATGAAATACAAATGGCCTATACCAGTGTAGCAAGCACTAAGTAAGAAAAATCCAATTCCATAACGGGAGAGCTCCCTTTATTTTAAATACGACATTACTTTCACAATTTAGGCCAAGTAACAATTATTATAGTAGGAACTTGTCAGTTGATGTAGGAATAGTTAATCATACAGAGATTGATGAAGAATCATGATGATTATGATTGACAATGATTTGTGATAGACTGTAATCAAACTCACCATAGCAAGACTGATTGTTGCAAAATTCCTTTTCAGTATCATTACCAAAGCAAACTCCATGATATTGTGCAGGGGGTGAGTCACAAACCCTTTTTCTCTGTCTCATGCCAGTAAAACATGTCTGATTACAATTTGACCACGGCTCCCAAGATGAGTAATTACCATTGATAGGTTCTAAAACACAATTCTATGATGTCAGAATCATATCTAGACACAAACTTGAACCGGGTTAGTTTCGAGCATGAGTAAGCTCATAATCCCATTAGCTATACCTTAAAACTTGGGTTTGCCCTTCAGTCTGGGGCTCATCATCGGGCCCCCTAGCATTTCACCCTGGGACACTTCACTTCCACCTACATATTGCCGTGTGAAGGTTACTTGAAAGGGCTTTTATTGCTCAAGGGTGGTTGTTATTCAATTATCTCACGATCACTCGATCTCAAAATTTTGTGTCCACAGCCATTGGAAGGAAAGATCGAGGAAGAAGAATTACTCGGCAGGAATTTCTTTGATGCTATATATTTAGGGAAAGAGTCATTAAACTTAAAAATGGTACGAGATAGCAGAAAAATACACGCACGCTGAAGTACTTATCCAAGTCAGGATCGAAAGAAACGTGAGAGAAATCACTAATATTACCAATTAGCAATCACTAATAAAGACGACCCAGTTTTAAAAGTAAGAAGAAACAAACTTGCTATCATTCCTTCCAACAAGATCTTAATCTTAGGCTAAAAAACCAAATTCATCTCTAAAGGCCAACTTTAAAATAAAATCACACTACCTAGCAGCCAAAATTTAGTACATAATTGCGCCCGTTTAAAACTCAAGACCCATTTGAAGTTCCGATAGTATTAGGGGCAAAACAACCAAACAAGAGAATCCTTAACCGATAATATTTAAACAGTTAGCTGGTGATCGTACTATGCTTGTAATTTAAAAAACAAAATTCACATCATAGAGTTTCTTAGAATACTTGCACACAGTCATCTCCCTAGCAAAACAGAAAAGAATTGGTTGGGAAATAAAAGTCTTGTAGGCAGGATTATAGCCGTTTATGGAAAGAACTTTTTTGGCATGTAAAATTATCATTCTTATGATGCCCAATCATCAAAGGAAGAAGGCTAAGTGAGTTGAAGGTTTGGCTTCATAAAGTGCTCAATCAAGGCAAAAATAGCAGAAAATTCTTTGACATGAAAGACATCTTTACGCAATGATTTCACACACAAATTGATTACTCACCACAGACGCCTATACGCTCATTATATCTGTCCAAATGACACAAATAGGAGCCTGTACTGTTCAGAAAGCATGAAGTATGAGTAGAATCAAAGTAACAGCTGGTTATATTGCTCGACAGCAATTCTTTTGCCAAGATTGGATCTAAAATAAAAACATTGATAATGCAAGCAAAGTGGTTATTAAACGAGGCTATTGATATTTTCGAAAAAAAATCATTCCTTTGAAGATTCGGTATTTAAATAATAAATGCGAAATAGAGGTTTTTCCAAGAAGCTTCATTCATATTCACTTAATTGATTTTTCCGATTGTAAAGTCAATGCCAAAGTCATGAAAATCCTTCAGCAAAAATCAAAATCGCTCTGAAAAAAGGAAACATTTCACAACATATTGGCTAAAAGCATTTTTTTAAAAAAAAGCTCTGAGCCCATTCGTTGTAAAATGTTTGTTCTCTTCAAAGCCATTTTCATGTTCTATACCGCCAAAAAACTTCATGATTTGCCTGGAACAATTTATGTGACCACCTTTTTTAATGTTTCTGCTGGCCAAATAATGTCAAATACTGTAGTAGATATGGCCGAATAATGTCAAATACTGTAGTAGAAATGGCCAAATAATGTCAAATACTGTAGTAGAAATGGCCAAATAATGTCAAATACTGTAGTAGTAATGGCCGAATAATGTCAAATACTGTTGTAGATATGGCCGAATAATGTCAAATATTGTAATAGAAATGGCCAAATAATGTCAAATATTGTAGTAGAAATGGCCGAATAATGTCAAATACTGTAGTAGAAATGGCCGAATAATGTCAAATACTGTAGTAGATATGGCCGAATAATGTCAAATACTGTAGTAGAAATGGCCAAATAATGTCAAATATTGTAGTATATATGGCCGAATAATGTCAAATATTGTAATAGAAATGGCCAAATAATGTCGAATACTGTAGTAGTAATGGCCAAATAATGTCAAATACTGTAGTAGTAATGGCCGAATATTGTCAAATACTGTAGTAGATATGGCCGAATAATGTCAAATACTGTAGTAGATATGGCCAAATAATGTCAAATACTGTAGTAGATATGGCCGAATAATGTCAAATACTGTAGTAGATATGGCCGAATAATGTCAAATACTGTAGTAGATATGGCCAAATAATGTCAAATACTGTAGTAGAAATGGCCAAATAATGTCAAATACTGTAGTAGATATGGCCGAATAATGTCAAATACTGTAGTAGAAATGGCCAAATAATGTCAAATACTGTAGTAGATATGGCCGAATAATGTCAAATATTGTAATAGAAATGGCCGAATAATGTCAAATACTGTAGTAGATATGGCCAAATAATGTCAAATATTGTAGTATATATGGCCGAATAATGTCAAATATTGTAATAGAAATGGCCGAATAATGTCAAATACTGTAGTAGAAATGGCCAAATAATGTCAAATATTGTAGTATATATGGCCGAATAATGTCAAATATTGTAATAGAAATGGCCAAATAATGTCGAATACTGTAGTAGTAATGGCCAAATAATGTCAAATACTGTAGTAGTAATGGCCGAATATTGTCAAAGATTGTAATAGAAATGGCCGAATAATGTCAAATATTATAATAGAAATGGCCGGATAATGTCAAATAGTGTAATAGAAATGGCCGAATAATGTCAAATATTGTAATAGAAATGGCCGAATAATGTTTGCTGTAGCAGAAATGGCCGAATAATGTCAAAGATTGTAATAGAAATGGCCAAATAATGTCAAATGCTGTAGCAGAAATAGCCGAATAATGTCAAATATTGTAATAGAAATGGCCGAAAAATGTCAAATGCTGTAGCAGAAATGGCCAAATAATGTCAAATATTGTAATAGAAATGGCCGGATAATGTCAAATAGTGTAATAGAAATGGCCGAATAATGTCAAATATTGTAATAGAAATGGCCGAATAATGTCAAATGCTGTAGCAGAAATGGCCAAATAATGTCAAATATTGTAATAGAAATGGCCGAAAAATGTCAAATGCTGTAGCAGAAATGGCCAAATAATGTCAAATATTGTAATAGAAATTGCCAATTAATGTCAAATATTGTAATAGAAATGGCCGAATAATGTGAAATATTGTAATAGAAATGGCCAAATAATGTCAA